CTTATTGAAAAGGGCTTTCTATACAGCACCAAAAAAGGGTTCTGTTATTGCTATGATATCAAGCCAATGGAAGAACCCTTTTCGGTGCTGCAAAGAACTCTTTACAAAAAGGTTCCATATAGAACCATCTACTGCACATTCTCCATCAATCTGAAGAGCCCTTTCACAATGCAAAGAATTCTTTAATCAGGCAAGTGGTTCTTTGAGTGATCATGGTTCTATATACAATCATTTTCTTTACTAAAGAACCATTGAAAAACCATCTTTCTGAATTGTGTACTCTGTGATAAACTAAAATGTTCTAAAGCTAGCAAGTTTTGCTGTATGTGTATTTTTCCTCTCAATGTTGCCAGATTCTCTGAAGCAACCTCCACCAAACATGTCTTGATTGATTAACTACATACGAAAAATTTATGTAAAATAGATTTTTGGCCAAACCGTCACTTTATTTCAGAAAGACTGGCTTCTTGGCATCTCCGTGCTTGGTTCTGCTTGTACTTTTGGCTTGTGTAATGTTCCATAGATGCAATGAACTTGATAATTAATGGAAGAGTCTTAAACCACTCTGACATGTGTATAGGCTGAGGTGAAGGACAACACATTGTTCCATAGTGTATGTCACTTCTGATTTGTGGAGGATATTATAAACAATAGCTGATTGTTCTAGACTCCAGAAGGTCATTGTGCAGCCCTTGATTCTCGATAACATTCCTTTCCCCAAAAATTCAAAACCGGGTATTGAGTTTGATTTGTTGCATTTCCATAAAAGCCAGTCTGTGAGAATGGGCTCAGAGAAAGAGAGAGATAGAAAAGTGAGTGAGAACTCCAGGCTAAAGCTGCTTCCCCATCCCTCCCTGCTGTGTAGGGAGACACATGGCTAGTCTGTCACCTCATTCACACATTCTGCAGACCAGTACGTGGCAATATGGTTTTCAGAAAGCTGCTATGCTTTGCTCAGCATCCAACAGTAGGAGGTGTAATCAGATCCCCTTGAATTTCCTTCTAGATTCCACTTGGGTTGAGATCAACACCGTTATTAGGCTATTAATTCATCCGCTAACCTGGAAAATTTTGTCAAATGGAATAAGCAGTTTTCCCTGCAGGAGCACTTTCTCCATAAGTCAGTTCCAAGTCCGATTTTTCATAAACGTTTCTGGAAAAGAAGTGCTGCATCGTTCAACCTGAGAAATTACTGCTGAGTGGCCACATATGTTGCTCAACCTTAGGGCACAGGACTAGAGAGAGCATGCATCTGTGTGTATTTCTGGCAAGCTGAGAATTTCCAACTTATTTATGACTTCTGTTCAATAAACCAGTCGAATTGATTCCCAAGACCAACTGAATTCAACTTTTTTAGCATCTACATAATTCTTACATTCCATGCGTAGGCTGAAGACATGTTTCATAGTTTAATTTAATGCAATCATAAAGTGCCGGTGTGGGCCTTGATCAGAACATAACCACTAAAGGTGCATCAGAAATAAAAGTGGGGGCAAAATAGGAAAGTGCATACTTAAATAGCTAATTTGTGAGCAAAACAAGCTCTAGGGGTGCTATGGAAGAGTGTGCTTCGCTTGATTAACACAATGTCTTTTCTTTGGGATATTCTGATACTGTTCATTAAAAAACATTGCATGTCCATGATTGTAAGCTTACTTGCTAGCTACGGCTGATGTCTGATATTATTGTACTGCAGTTAGCATCCTCTGCCATTAGCATACTGAATGTTCTGCATAACTAAACATCTGCACACTATGGCACTGGTCTCAGTTCGGAGTTAGGCAATCTATCTAAACACACATTGACTGGAACTAGAATTAGCTTATATTAGCTTATATTAGTCTGAATCCAGCTTTTTGTGGCAACTACGAAATGGTTACATTCTATGTTATAGGCCGGAGGCTTGTAATAACAAGACTAATGTAGCCTAGTTTGGCTGGACCGCCATCGGCTGCGTTGCATTTTTCATTCAAGTGTCTATGATTCAGGGCTGATAAAGAAGCAGTAGAGTATCTGTGCTAGTATTAAAGTTTCATAACAAATGTTACTGTATAAAGGGATGATTCTAATAATAGTGATCAACACATCAAAATATTATTGTGTTACACTAATTGGTCATGTATTAGTGCTTGGTGACTGTATCTTTACCTGGGACAGTACAGTATTAGCTAAGTATGGCTAAATAGGGGAACATTTCAACTGGGCAGCCCAGCAAAAATGAAAATCTTTTAGTATTTCACCTCATAAAGTCAAATATACCTCACTGAAACATATTAAGAGCAATCTTTTAATTTAGTTTATAGACTGTAGACTGTAGTTGGCTTCCCTTCCTGGTGTGTTTGTACTTTGTGCAGTCCAAGTCTGACTCGAGTGAACGTACTCACATATGAACCATATCACATTGTGTGTGAAAGACCTGAGAATGAACTTGACTTCCGAATCAACGAATAGTTGAATTGGACATTTGATTCATTAAAACGAGCAGTTCTAAAGAATTGGTTCACTAAACTCAGTCGAGCTTCCCACCACTAAGGTTGAGTCAGAGGTCAGGCAGGGGCTGCTGGAATGGATGGTAGGATGAAGTAGACGAGAGAAAAGGGTCATTTGATAACCCGAGACATGGCTGCCGCACAGGGGCAGGAAAAAGGAGGGTTAGGGGAATGGAACGGGACACAGACATGGTGAGAAACAACAACATCAGAAAAGTTAGCGGCCTTTCCTGTGGGTGAGGATTAAAGTGTGCTTCCTGTGCACATCCCTGCTGTTCCCCCTTGTTCCCTTCCCAGGGTCCCCATGACACCAGCGCTGCGCTCGCAGCCTCAGCTGTACTGGGACTATATTTAGCTCCCCTGGGTCACACTGCAGTCTGGATGACCAGCACTGCTCCCTGCAGTCCTCCCTCAACCAGCCTCATACACTCCCATGTGAGCCATGCCAACTCGAATGGGCCACCTGCACCAGGCACTCACACACGGACATGACATGTACACTCATAGGCATGCAGACAACAATATACACACGTATACACACCCTCACTGCATTGTCAGGACCTTGGGTCATACGTATGTAATAGTAATGTATCCCATACCTATAGTATGTATCTACAATACCTATCTAATGAAAATATGTTCTATATGTATTATGTGCGGTATTATACAAAAGTTACAGACAGCTGAGAAAATTATATTTAAAAAAGCTATTCATCTGAATAATATGCAATGTTTTGACTTAAAAATATCAATATAAATATTAATACAAAAAGTACTCATTTGTGTCAGTATGTTCACTTAATTTCCAAATAAAGCCCAGTATTAGTTAATCAATATTTGGGTTGGCACATCTGTGCTTCATTAAATTAAAACAGGTTTGCAGGTGATGGATTTTAACAGAACTATGCAAAAAGGAGAAATCTGGAGCCAAACCATTGTTTTTCTAACCAGTTTCTTACATCATGGCTAATTTTTACTGCTTTAATATTTGTTTGAATGTTTTTTAACATTAAATGTTATTTTCACATGTAGAAACATACTGCATTTGTATCTTTTCTGTCACAGCAAAACCTTGAATTGTATTTTTGGCAAAATTTGAAAATGTCAGTTGTCCTTTTCATTCATGATGAATGGACCAAAAGAAGTGCTCCAAAATTACTTGGAAAAACATCTTGTTCCATTAACTTCCATTCAAACTTAAGAACATTGTTTTGTTTCTCCTGAAAATGTTTTAGTGATATGAGTTTTTATTGTGACAGTGACAACATGTAAATACCTAAATGTAATAATACGTCCCGTATGTAAGTACCTAAATGCAATAATATGTCCAATACATATTATGCATATGTATGTATCCATATGTAACAATGTGTCCTATATGTATCATCTTTGTGTATGTCTCTCCCATATATCATCACTGTCATGCAAAAGCCTCATAGCTCCATTTTTGTCATTTTTTGCTATGTTATGTAATTTTAAAACTCTTTCCTCTTGCAATGTGTTGATGAACATACCAATAGGAATAGTCCAAAATTACTTGGAATCTTTTTTTTTTAAATGTTCATCATTTTTGGAGAGGCAGTATATAGAAGTATCTATATCCATAAAAATACAGTATCTTTTACAAAAAAGTAAAACATGTAGCTTCTGTAAAAAATTACTTTGTTGTTTTTCTCTGGTTTTCTCACAAAATCAGATCATTGAAACCACATGAATACAAACACACGCATAGAATATAAATTACAACTTGTTTACTGACAACTAGTTAATAGAAAGAAAGATTTGTTTTATTTTAAATTTTTTTTTTTGAAGTGCTGTACTATAGTACTTTAGCGTAGGGATCACCAGTCTTATCTGCAAAGGGCGAGTGTTGCTGAAGGTTTTCACTCTAATTAAGCAGAAGCATGTCTGATTAATCAAATATTAGAATACATTCCCATTTTACGTCTTACTTTTTCATTTTTATTTTACACACAAATGCTACTGATGTACTTCCTCAGTCTCAGTCTTCAAAAGAACTGATTAGTTGTATGAGATGTGCTCCTGCTTTGTTGTAACGAAAACCTACAGCGGAGCACTCCCATATAGTATATGGGAAAAACCTTCACATCTTTTTATTCTTCAGAAAAGTCTGTTACATCAAGCAGTTTTTATTAGCTTCTAATGTAGCACACTACATTCAGTTCATCAGGCATTTCGGGGGCATGTGAATAGGGGAATCAGGTGAATAAGGTAGGGGCCACAATCAAACTCTGCAAGAGAATCACCAGGAGAATCAATCAAGAACTGCAAATATTTAGCCAGTGAGAGACTCTTTGTTCAGTGTAAATAAACATTACTGTCCATAATCTCCTGAACAGCACATTTTCATGTTTTTACAAAGTTAATGTTGCTTCTGACCCTTTGCCCTGTGCTATATGTATGTGTTAATAAGAGCACTTATGCTAGGCAGTTTTATCTGTTTTTCTTCCTGAAACACTTATTTTTTATTTTTTCTCTGTGCTTGTGCAGATTCCTACTCCGCGGCGGGCAGTGAGGGCAGTATCTCTACATCTGTAGCCTCTCTGCCCCCCCAGGCATCCGGCAGCTCTGCCCCGAGTTCACCCGGATCCCGCCGTTCCGTCAGCACGCTGAAGAAGTGGCTGACCAACCCAGTGCGCAAGCTGAGCGCCGGAGCAGCCGGGGGAAGCAAGGGGGAACGACCGGCACGCAGGCTGGAGGGTAAACCCCCTCCACCCCAAAGCAAGAGCAACCAGGAGCTGGGCAGCACCAGGACAGCAGAGGAGCACCTTACCATCCTGCCCATCACAGACAAGGAGCTGGTGAGAGGAACCATTCACTCTTTGTAACAGAGTGCTCAACATTACAGCCTTATGTCTTATGTCAGTATACTCCGCATTAAACCATTAGATTACTATACTCAACCTTAAATCTTTCTTTCAGTGTAATCTGCATTAGACTATTAACATTACATTCATATAATAACATACTCTACATTAAAACTTTGACCCTTATGTTAGTATAACCTACACTAAACCCTGATGTTAATCTAATCTCAATTAGACCTTTATGTCAATACACTCTATGTTACATCTTTATATTAGTATATTAAATCATTATGTCAGTATGAACATTCCTAGGTTCTTATAATAGTATACTCTACATTAGAACCTGATGTTGGTTTGCTCTACATTCATCCCTTGCAATAATAAACTCTACCTAGACCCTTATGTCAAGATACTCTACAAATGACCCTTATGTCAGTTTATTCTGTTTTAGACCATTACATCAGTATACTCTACATTAGACCATTATATCAGTTTACTCTGCATTAGACCATTACATCAGTATACTCTACATTAGACCACTGTATCAGTAAACTCTACATTAGACCCTTATACCAGTGTACTCAACATTAGACCCTTGTATCTGTATCTTGTATCTTTAGACATGCAGCATTAATGCCAATATACTCTACAGTATACCCTTTATACATTAGAGCATGGCCGTACACTTCACTAATATACTAGATTCTTTTTTAATATATTTGACCCTTTTTGTATATTTTACATTTTTAGAAAAAGGGTTCAAACTCATGTCACAGGGGTGGTACCCTCAAGTGTATACCTTTAGTTAGAGAACATAATTATTCCATATTCCATTGCAGTTGATCATTTTTAAAGTTGTGCTGACTCTGTAGTCCCTCTTGACTCCGGACTTTAAAAACAGTTCATTCTGAACCTTTAAAACTCAAGGTGCAACTGGAACCCATACATTGGGAGAAATAAAATGTAATTGTACAGTACCCATTTTTTCTTACTGTGCAGATTCCCTCAGTAGACGTGAGGGAGATGCTAATATCTTCCCAGTTATGTTCAACACTCTCAGCTCTGACTGACCTTCACACACTGAAGAAAGTACACAGGCCACACCTGTACATGTGTCATACTCCTCAGCCAGCTGTCTCACAGGGTTCATAAGGCAGTAAGAGCTGGCCCACGCTGAGTTATCATCTGACCGGCTGGACTGCCCCGCAGCGTGCATCTGTCTCAGTGACCAGTGTGCCCACTGAGTGTTTTATGCATCAAGGACGCTGCACATGTTCAGTGCTGTCTACTACCTCTAATGGCAAACCCAGAGGATTATGTAAATATTCTTACTCTGCAGAAGTTTACTTCATGTTAGAGAGAAACACATATGCTGCATCAGGGTGATTATTGATAGTATGAGGTGTATATGGCATGTTTCACCTTTAAGAAAGTCTCAGAAAACTTGATGGCTGTTTGTGTGTGCACATGCAGGAGTGGAGGGATGGCCTGCCAGTCTCTGAAGATGCTTCAAGCATCCTGCAGTCTCACAGTCACCAGTCTGATTCCTTACAGGGCTCCACCTCACTGGGCCCTATACAGGTCAGTCCACCCCACACAGATAGAGATAAACAGAGAGTGCAAATGTCATTCAAGCTCTTTTCATCTCACCAATGACAAAAAGATGGTATGATAGATTGTGCTACCGTAAGATGAGCAGATGCTTTTAACAGTGTGTGCTCATGTTAGGTACTGAGATTTTCTGTAGTTTATATGATGACTTTGTTGATATCTTGTAGATATCTTGAAGACTTGTAGTTGTTATTGATAACTTGTAGACTGTCCTATGATATGACTGCGTGTATTCGCAGTAGACGGGTTGTAGTTGTATGACTTGTAGATTGTCCTATGAAATTGTGACTTATAGTCATTGTAGACATTATAAACATGTAGAATCTCTGATACTATGGCATTTTGTAGTCATTACAGACCGGAAGTTCTTAAATCAGTCCTCAAGGCCCCCCCGATGGTCCACATTTTTGCTCCAACTTGACTCATGATGCTTAGTCATGGAACAAAATTGTGGACCACATGGGAAGGGAGAGTTTGAGGACTGGTTTGAGAACCACTGCTGTAGATGGCATGATGACAAGATGACTTGTATTCTTTACATATAACTTGTAGATTCTCCTACGAGATGATAATTTGTCATTACAGATGACTCGTGTCCTCTCCCATGGGATGATGATTTGTCATTATAAATGACTTTTTGGCCTCTACTTTTTAGCCACAACTTGCAGACATTTCTATGAAATTATGACTTTAAGACTCTTACACTCTTATGATGTAAAGACTTCTAGCTGTTGTAAATGATTTGTAGTTCTCGTTCTTAAGCTTTTGTGGTGGTTCTAGACAACTTGAAGACTTTCCTGTGAATTGATTACTTGTAGATGTTGTAGACAACGTAAGGATTCTCCTATGTGAAGTTGACTTGTTTCGGTAGAGGATTTCTAGACTCTCCTATTACATGCCGAATAGATATCTCTGTAGAGACTCTTCTGTGAAATAAAGAATTCTAGTCTACTTGTAGTTTGTGTAGAAGATCTCTCCAGTGACATAATGACTTCCAGTAATTGTAAATGACTTGTAGGTCTTCTGGACAACTTGTAGACTGTCCTGTGAGATAATGATTTGGTGTAGACACCTTTTTGCCTCTCTCATGAGATGATGACTTGTGGATACTTTAGTTTGATCAGGTGTGGTACTTAGACCAAACAGTTTTAGGGGATCTGAGAAAAAGACAAGAGAGAAAAAATATCAGGAAGGATCTAAGGAAGGTGTAGACAGAGTTCAATGATTAAGGGGCTGAGAAAGGCTGCAGAAGCAGTGATGTATGTGTATGTGTGAGAGCGAGTGTGCTGTGTGAGAAGAGCCAGATGGGACAGAGCGATGGGTCATTAGTCGCCAGGCTGCCTGTTACAGCGTTGACTCCAAGAGCGAGAACACACACTGATCAAACACAATTCACACACACCACCTGAGCTCTGCATACACATACACACACACACAAAGCCCACACATCTCGTACGCTTCAGCTGGAGCTGAGGGAAAACAAACAGCTCCAGACGTCACACACAGCATCACCCTTAAAGCCTTTATACTGGATCTCCTATTTTGGTTCAGTTCAATGGTTTTCTTTGACCTATCACCAGCATCAACTGTAGCCCTAAAATCACTAAAGCTACTTGACTGATGAACTGTAATCATGACCCGGAGTGCAGCTTCAAAGCAGAATAAAATAACTGTAGTGATTTTGATCTAGAGTCACCATTCAATATGTGTCTCTACTGGAGACTCTCCTATGATATCCTGACTCGTAGACATTGTAGACAACTTGTAGACTCTCCAATGAGATGATGACTTGTAGTCGATGTAGATTACTTTTATCCTCTTTTGTAAGATTATTACTTGTAGTTATAGATGACTTGCAGAAACTCCTGTGAGGCGGCAGCTTGTAGTCTATGTAGATGAAGTGTAGACTCTCTTATGACATGAAGACTTAAAGTGTCTGTAGATGACTTGTACACCGTCCTATGTGATGGTGACTTGTAGACAGCTTGTAGACTTTCCTATGACATGATAACAGGAAGTCTCTGTAGATGACTTGTTGAATATCCTATGAAATGACTTGTACTCATTGTAGACAACTTTTTAGCCTCTCCTATGAGATGATGACTTGGGGATTGCTTTGGTTTGATTAGGGATCCAAAATGTTTATTTTCATATATAAACAACTAATACTGATATACCAACATTGAAATCATTTATTTAATACTTTGTGCAAGCGAAAATATATATAAGAATATTCTCCAAACGTCAGTAATCTTTTACTGTAACTCAGATGAAACAGATCAATGTTCTGGAAGTGTTTAATTTAAAACTTATTAACTGCATTCAACAATAGCGAGGAGCTTTTGTTACATAGTGATAGAAAACACAGATCACAGAAAGCTACTCAATTCCATATGCTAATCCATTTTATTAAGACCAACACGGACGAGCATGCACACCAACTACTCTGGGGGCAGATTTTATGAGTTGACGGGAGACAAAGGCAAAGACTCTGAATGTACTGCTGACAATACGTTAGGTAACATAGGGTTAATACATTAATACATTTTCCTGGTGCTGTTATTTTCTGAACTAGCAGGATGACAGAGTGCACGTGGTGTTTGGAGTCAGACCTTGGCCTGCCCTGCTGTCTTTGTACGTACATAGCTTAAAGATCTGAGTGCAAAGCTCCCCTGGAATTAAAATCTATAACTGTGTGATTACTAGTCAGCATCCCACATGGCCTGGGTTCACTTACAGTCATTAGACCAGTTATTTTTCCAAAGCTCACCTCTAGACTTTCCAGTATGGGTATCATGTGATGTAGGAAATGCACTAGGGTGTGTGTGTGTGTGTGTGTGTGTGTGTGTGTGTGTGTGTGTGTGAATGAGTGCGGAACGTCTGCTGGGCTTTTTGTTGCCAGGCTGCATGCTATAGACATGACTCTAAAAACAAAAACACATTTTGCCACAGAGACAGAATTGGTTTTATACAGTGTTAGGATGTGAGGTCATACATACGTCCCACAAGTATTACATACAGTATATATGTAAGTATTTATATATGCTGATAATATAGTCGTCAGCCTATATAATTTACCTGTGTAAAATATGTTTTTTTACAATTTTGGAACTATATAGCCATATGAAACTAGAATATGGGAAATACAGTCTAATACAGTTTTCCTCATACACTTTGGCCAGTTAACATCACTAAATTTATGGCCTAAAAAGTCCTCTGTTCATACAGACAAGACAGATATCGCAACATGCAGCACAACAATTAAGGCATAATCAGGAAAAAATGCATTAAAAACGATACATTTATCCCTCGATCTTTCCTTACAGATAATGCTACAGTGTCAGACACTTTTTGTTCTGTCAGCTCTTCTAAGAACACTGCCTGACTGTTGAGCTATTTAACTGTCAAATAAAGTAAGTATATATTTCTAATTCTGTATGAAGTAATTAGTATGATTACAAGAGGAATATATCACAGCTAGTAAAACTGCAAAACTGGATACATTGCTGTTGTTGAGAATGATTTTTGTGGTATAAATACAGTTTGGAGGCAGTGAATATAAAGTTTGCAGTCTTTAGAGGTTGACACTTATGTAATAATATGTTCCATTTCTATTATATATGTATATAACTGTGTCAAGTTACTATTATCAGTAATCGTCAAGACAGATGTCATGCTGTTTGATGTCATTACATCTTATGTCAAATGCTAATTTTTGCTGTGTACTCTGCTTAGCTGTCATGACTTCAAACATTATGCCATCTGTAATGACAATTAACGGTAATAGTGACAGTTATATTATTAAACAAAATCTGTCATGACAACTCGAGACAGCATATGACTTCTGCCATGACGTGTTTATGGCATGTTAATGTTATGTGACAGGGTTCAAGTCAAGTGTAATAATAATATGTTCCATATGTGTTAGATACAGACACACGTGGCACACACTGGTGAAGAAATATGATGCCAGTGTTTATTGCCAGCGTGATGTGATTTTTAGTGAACACCAGTGAATTACAGTTTCACTTTAAGCCTGAATCCCTGAGTCACCACACTGACAACACCCTGCAGGAGAGAGAGAGGGAGTGAGAAAGAGAGTGAGAGAGAGAGTGAGAGAGAGAGCAGTGAGAAGGGTTAGGATGTCCTTTTGGAGGAAGATTAAATGGGATAAAACATGTTGGGTACATATTAAAATCTCACATATTACCTATTAACCCTGAAGCAGAGAAAGGATGCTGAGAGAGAGAGATAGAGAGAGAGAAAGAGAGTAGTTGTGGATTAGAGATTAGAGTATTCGGGTCAGTCTCTCTTGGGTCGTGCCCTCATGAATATTTCTCTGTTATTACTGTAAATTGCAGAAATCAAGGCTGTTTGCTTTCAGCCTCTACCCAGCATCCGCCTAAACAGGCTGTGCAACATACTGCACTTTGCACTGTCCTTGCTAAAGGGCCTCATTCCTCAGCTTTCTTTACCTGCCTCTGTGCTGCAGGCCCCAGCGCTCCAGCGTGAGTTTATTGTTTGTTGGCTAATGGAAAATTCCTGAATGAATATATAATCACTCCAGCAATCTGCCCCCCGCTCTTCAGAATGGACGGATACTGTGAATGTTTTCAAACAGTGTGTTTTATTTCAACCCTTGTCTTGCCTTTCATACAAATAGGAGTCAGTTCTTTACTGGTTAAGTGGGAAACAGCTGAGGGTTTAATTCTCCTGAGTTTTCCCATACCAGACAGTAAAAGAAATAAGGGAGTGAGGCTGGGATAGCCTCCTCTTCGCTGTGCCTAACTTTAGCATAATTTCCTGCAGGAAGCACAACAAGCCCTGATCTCAGCTCTTTATTAAAATGTTTGAGTGCGGAAAGTGGGCTTCTGGGTAGAAAAACAAGGCCTGCAAATAAAGGAGGGAACGTGAAGGAGAGGGATGTCTCCTGTGGACTGAGCCAGAGCACATCTGGAAATGATCAGAGCCGAGCAGAACAGCCAGGAAACCTGTCAGCTAAGTAGGGGAGCACTCACAGCATACACACAACATGGCACGATGCGACACATTGCAGCATAATGCAGCACAATGTAGAACAGTGCAGCAAAGTGCAATACAATGCAACACACTGTAGCTCAGTGCAACCTAGCGTGGCACAATAAATGGCACTGTAGTACAGTGCAACCCAGTGCAATACATCGTAGCGCAGTGTAGCACATTGCATGACAATGCAATCCAGTGTAGCACAATGCAACCCAGTGTGACACAATGCAGTTACCCATTGTAGCACAATGAAACGCAGTCTAACAGTGCAACACCATGTAGCATAGTGCAACACCATGTAGCACAGTCTAGCACAATGTAACCCTCTGTAGCATAATGAAACAACATGTAGCACAGTGCCACATAATCTAGCACAGTGCAACACATTGTAGAACAATGTAACACAGTGTATTAGAGTCCAGCTCAACGTAGCACAAAGCAGACCAGTGTAGCACAATGCAACACATCACAGCAGAGGTCTGCCTACCGCAATATCTTGCAGTACAGAGCTAATTTTCAGTGTCACGTGCAGGATCAAGCAGTTAACCAGCAACATGTATTTGCATTTGAAGTCCTCTAAACTTGTTCTAAAAAGAAGCAACCAGTCATGTGAGAAATCATGTGTAGGATACAGAAACGCCAGAGCCTTCAGACAGTCAGGCAGCCACAGCTGTGGAAAGTGTTCTTAATAAAGGTGAATATGCGAGAATAAGAAGGCAAGTCTGACCTACAGCAGTAATTTTCAATTGTGACTAACTCAGATGGAAACCAGTTATAAAGGTTTGCGGGCAGGAGCAGGACAAATCTTTTTGCGTATAATGCGGCACAATGCAACAACAAAAATTTTACTAATATAGTATAGCTAATGCAACAGAATAGAATACTATACTAAAAGAGAACTTGAACCATGCATTGTAACATACTACATTAGTAAATGTAATTGTTATGTAAATATTTCAGAATACTGGCTTTACAAGCATACAGATTTACAAATGTTCTTTGAAAGGTAGCGAATGCATACTGAATGCCAGTATGAATAGCATGCATCACAGTGATTTTGTATGTTCGGATTTATTTCACGTATCTTTTCTTTCTCACTCATAGGCCTGTATTACATACAGATTTCTTTGTCACCCACATGCCAATGCACACACTACAGTATGTTTAGCATCCTCATCCTACAGTCTTGTACTCACTTATTTAATGTATTTTTACTTTGAAGTCTAAACTGAAGGCTATCACTTCTAAACACATCTTTTCAGCCTGAAGCTCATTTTTACCCACACTGTAATTTTAGGGATTGGTCACCTGTTGCATGTTAAAAGTCAGTGAGGTAAAGAGGAGAAGCAAATGTGATTTTAATGTTTTACTGCTGTCTGCACATAGCTGAAGAGGTGGTTGCTGAAGGCAAAGGCCTTTTCTAGAAAAGCTCTGAGTAATGAACAGAGAGAGAGAAAGAGAGAGAAAGAGAAAAACCCAGGGGATAGAGAATAGAGCTGTCCTCTCAATCACAGCATCAATGCAGGAATCTATGTGTGCTTCACACACTACGTAACTTTAAAGCCCCAAACAATTCTATGGCTGCCTCAGGACTCAGTGCAGAGTTTACTTACAGCAACAAGGGCACACTAATGGACATACTGTACATTTTGGTATTTTCAGTAGTGTAACAGTGCTGCACCTAAGCCCTAGTCAAGGTGTTGATGAGGTGATTGTGGAGTGGATGCTGAGGAATGAGTATAGACTGATGCTTAGGCCTTCGCATGGAAGTAAATTATGTGTTAAAGGTATCCAGATCGTACCTGCTCGTCCAGCGTTTCCTCTAAAATCAAGAGTTTTACTAGATATTATCTATTAATAGTCTTCTGGGGCAACAACACAGACTGTGCAGAAAGACCTGGCAGCTGGCTGAACAAACCTGAAACAAGATTGTTATTTCTAAATATCAGAAAATGTGTATTTAAACTCATAATATTTACAAGACCACAACAATAATCAAAATGAGTTTGCTGTAATCACAAAGGGGGGTAAAAATAATGGGCAGAATTTCCCGCTAGTGTGGACACTGTCTCTGTTGTCTGCATAAAAGGAGAATGAGTCGTCCCTCCTGCTTGCCAAATCCATGCAACTGAATCTTCTCTGGTTGGACAAGATTTTTGTTACCGTTGTTTAAAGCTTGTCCAACCTCACAACGGATGCTATGAAAGAACACACTTGTGGGCGGAGCATGGACAGGTCAATTGTGCTTCATTGCTCCAGAGGACACATTTCTACTGCTTCACTATCCAACGGGATGTTTTCCACCACCCTAGCTGATGCTTGGCACTGTGCATGGCGATCTAAGGTTTGTGTATGGCTGCTCCAAAGCATCCCATTCTACAGCCAGTTCTTTTCTATGAAGATGAATTGGCTGTGTGGGCAGTTTAAAATCCGTGTCAGCAATAGGTGTGCCTTAAACTGCCGAATCCTCTAATTAGAGGGGTGTCTGGATACTTTTGGACATGTATCTGTCAGCTGGCACAAGAAAATCCCTCTGACATTAGGTCTGAGACATTATGGATGAAAAATTAGATGAAAACTGGAAGGGCTGCAGAGGAACTGCAGCTCTAGCAATTGATTAAAGGACTTTCTGCACTCAGAACATACAGGCTGCAGTTGGTTAGCTTGGCTCTCTTTGTCTGTTGACTCCAAAGCGACGTTCATCACTTGAGGAATGCTTCTGTATGAGTTCTACTCATGTTATCCCTATTTCTAGACTGACATCTCATTTATATTACTTTCTCATCGCTCTTTTGAGGGTCATTAATTGACTTTTGAAAGCCAAGCTTGTCCTCAGTTTACCTTTGAAAAATGTGTGTGAACAACAAAGACAGGAAACTTCCTTGTACTTCCCCTCTATCAACACATTACACAACCCAACAGGGCCAAATGGATGTTCATTATCAGAAACATGAACTATGGCCCAAAACAACACACAGTAATAAAAGGCTCAGATTGCTAGGCAGTAGCAGTGGGTACATTTGCTAACCCTTAAATGGATACTTAGCATTAAATACATGCTAGTGATCTGTGGTGAACCATTACTATTGGGGCTAGGCCTACAGTTCAGACCATAAATACCAGAACTTGTCAAAAATGAAGGAAAAACCCAACTTAATGAGAAACCTAATACCTGGATTTCTAATAGTATGTTAGCACTTAGCTAATACTGGCCGTTTTAGATTAACCACAGACATTTAAAAGATATTTCATATGTTTCATTTGAAGTTATAGTAACTTATTTTTTTACATTGTATGTAGTAGTATTATAGTAACTCTTTCATTATGAAACTGCCACTGTTTTTCATTTCTCAGCACTGACTGAAAGCTGGCTAGACTATGGTGACAAATCTAGGACTTCTAGAAATTGGTCCTACTCATTGTAAATCAAAATATCATTGGTCGATTCCCCAGTCACTTCCTAGTTATGTGGGTGGTTAATCAGACATGTATGGCCTTCAGTCCTGCCCCTGCAGGCCTAACCAACAGGAGAGCATGCTTGGATGCATCCACCTAGATACCACCTGAAAAAGTCCTGATTGGACCATTTTAAGACTTCAAACTGTTATTTTCTACTCAAAACTTAAGAATGAAATTACTACAAAGTTTAAATGCAACAAGAAACATGATTATTTTAAATAAAAAATTTTTTCAAATGTGTTACAAACCAGATCTCAGACTGTAACATATATTTTATTATATTTATGTATTTTATTTTATGCCCTGCGATGGACTGGCGACCTGTCCAGGGTGTATCCTGCCTTCCGCCCGATGACAGCTGGGATAGGGTTCAGCTCCCCCCACGACCCAGAAGGATAAGCAGCTTAGAAAATGTGTGTGTGTATTTTATTTTATTATTTTGTAATTGTTTTGACAGTTTCGCTCTGTCGTGGCAGTTTGTAGATCAATTTGTATATAAATGGTTGGTTGCTAACAACCCATTAACAGTAGGAATGAATGCTGAAACATACTTGCATTAAGGGGTTAAGCTTGATAAGCCTGCTCTCTCTCTCTCTCTCTCTTTCTCTCTCTCACACTAATGGTGTCATGATTATTGGTAAGCACTGAATACCTCTTATCGTTCAGTCACTGTCACCAACAGAGCCTGAATGCTGCTCTGCTGTCACCTAGGCAACCTGCACCAAAACAGCAAGACAACAGGAGCTCATCTCTCTCTCTCCCTCTCTCTCTCTCTCAAATGCATTTCATAACTGTTTCATCACTTGTTTTCTCTCCTTCTTAGCAGAATACACAATCTTCTAACCTGCAGCTAGAAGACAGTGGCTCCGTGTTGGTGGACGACACTTCCAGTCAATCGTCAGCCACTGTAGACAGTGAAGAGGAGAGGAGGAGTGCCTTAGAGAAAAGCATGTATGTGAGGACCACCCTGGGTTTATGATCCGTATCTATGAAGTACAGCTGTCACGATTAAGTTATTTCCACTCAAAACGGCCATTAAGTACAAGAAAACAACAGAAAACATAGATTTAACAGACAATTACACAGAATCCTCAACAACTGAACATAGTGTCAGAGTTTTCAGTATTTAGTGTGTCTACCCTTCAGCTTTATTACAGCTTCTATTCATTTAGAGAGAGAAATCTGCAGGGATATTTTTCCACACCTTGAAAGTTCGGTCCTAGAAGTTGGTTATATTTTTTGCTTCTCACGATCCAGGTGATGCTGAGGTCTGGAAGGATGGACAGAAACACCTGAGGATTTTTCAGATCTGAGTCAAGAGTGGAGCTTGATTTTCTCCTCTCCCCTAAAGAAGAAAGCTTTAAGTACTGTTTATCTGATGGTGACAGCTGTAGTGGTCTACCATGCATGATTGTTAAGAGTCCCATGTTCTCTGCTCTGTATAACTAAATAACTTGTACTTAATGGCCACTTTGACTGGAAATTAAATGATAGGTTGGTGGTCTCATTTGCACAGTATTGTACATTTTTTTGCCACATCGTGTTTTATTTTTATAATGTAATCTTTTTAAAGCATTCATAGTTTGTCTTTTTCCAATTAAGTATTTAGAAATCTTTGAAAGGCTACGCATGCTTTGTTTTTTGTTTAATTAAGTCTACTTTTATTGTTACTTGATTACTCTAATTACTTATCATCAAAATAATCAGTATGTTACTGTATGACTGGTATAATCGATACTGACAGGCCTAATATGAAGGAATGTAGATGTTACTGCAGTTCATAATCCTAACTCAGTGTTGATCCTGTTTGAACACCATGGTTAAATAAGGCCTAATCCTTTCCCTAAATATTTGCCACATTGTGTGTGGAGTGCCTAATTGAAACGGCTGTGGATGCTACATCAATAGCGCTGTTATCTCATCTGAGTGAAAAGCAATGCTGGCAGCATTATTTTCACATCAAACAGACGAAAGCTCTCCTCATCTCTCCCTCCTTTCTCTGTAGGTATGTACTCAAAGAGCTGATTGAGACAGAGAAACTGTATGTAGTTGACCTGGGACTCATCGTGGAGGTGAGCTACAGAATACCAAATTACACTGTTGGATTCTTAGATTAAATATCCTACACATACTATTATTAGTAACACCTTATTTGAAAGATAGGGACTTTATAACACTTGCGTAAGCATTGAACAACATATTTGTAAAACAATACTTGAACAGCTCCTGGCAGTAATTGCAAGTTAACAAGGTGTTTTACAAAGTAATTGGCATTGTATTGACATAAGGGGCCTTAAGCTAAAGTGGTTCTATTTGCTGTTCTGTTATGAAGCATCATTGCTAAGTAATGAAGCAAGGCAAGGGTCTAGTCAAAAGACCATATATCAGTTATAGGGAAGACTTTAATGCCCTTGAACTTAAGTGATAATTTTCACACATCATTTCCCATATGCATGAATATACGTATACACATATGTACACAAAGTCTGAACCTGAGTCAAAGTAGATACCCTTGGTAAAATATTAGTCTAATACATATTAGTTCAAATAGAACTGTAGTCCTGTTTGTACAGTTATGTTACCTTATTTTGATGAACAATTTCTATTGAAGAGATCTGTATGGATGGTTACTTGTTCATGTCTGCATTCACACAGGCCTGCTTAATAAAAATTGTACTTTTTTACTTTAACTCAAGTAGGCAAAATTATATGTAGAGTCATATGGAGATGTTTGAACAACTCTGTTAAATTACTTAGTTGTTTTTTTTTTTTTGTTGTTGATAAGTTAACTCATGTTCTACAGGAAACACACTTAGGTGCTGAGCTTAACATATCTACGTTTCCCATAAAATGTAAATTAAGTTTACTTAGCAACTTGAGATACCTTATGACAGTACAATGTCATTCACTTCACAAAACATCTTTTTGTCATGGTACAATTAAGGGCATAAAGTGTCCATAAATACTCAAGTATTGCTGATATTCAATGCTTATACATGCGTTATGTAGTCCCTATGAAGGTAGCCAGATTATTTAACCTATAGACAGATATTTGCTTACTTAATTCTATACATGAAGTAAAATGGTTATGTTTTAAATGTGTTGTCCATTTTCTTATTTTTGTCCTTTTGATAGATGAATGTTTGTTTAATAGACAGATATTTGTTACACTAAGTAAAATGATTTTTGAAGTTTTAAATTATGCACTCTTTTTCTTATTTTTGAGATTATTTTACAGCATTCATGTGGCTTATGCATGGAAGGTCCTTCAATAAATATTGGTCTGTTTGTTGTAATACCCCAAGAAAAATGATTAAGCTGTAAATATGTTCTTGATTTTCTTAATTTTTAGATTAGTTTGGAGTTTATATATGGGAGTCTGTAGAGTTGTAATAGAGCCTTACACAAAGAGATATTGGTTTACTTATTTCAGTGCTCCATGTACAGTTCAGATATATATTTTGGAACATACATATTGCCCACAGCACTCTAAAGAGTTGTAATAGAGCCTTACACAAAGTCATGGCACTAATGTTTCTCAATAACATTAAGGCCATTGGCAAGAATAAACACAGTTTTGGGATGACTCCAGAAACAGCTAAAAGCGGATAAGGAAGGGATTTGTTTCCATCTCCTAGTATCATACATTATTTAGAGTTCAGTTTTCCTAAATATTTGCTTAAGGATGACGGAACTGAACTAACTAACTAAAGCAAGCTACGGTGCTTGTAATAAGTCAACATTAAATCTATGCCATATTGTTGACAGCACATATTTTTGCAAAGCGATGGTTGGCCTCTTCGCATGTGGAACATTATGAACAGATAATGTAAATGTTGTGTTTTGGAAGCATGACTGGAGTGATTTAACATGTTGTTGACTGTTTCTCTGGAATCTTCTGCAGGGCTACATGGCCACTATGAATGCCAAAGGAGTTCCAGAAGACATGAAGGGAAAAGATAAAATAGTGTTTGGCAACATACACCAAATCTTCGACTGGCATAAAGAGTGAGTATTACTCTACAGACATACAGAGAAGTTTGAACATCTTCTGTCATTCAGTGGCGTATTCAGTTGCTTACAATCTGCAACCTCACTGCTAGATGCTGCCTAATCCTATACACTGCACCTTTAAAGGGCATTTTGAGACATTTTATTCAATATTTCACTGTTGCTTTTGCTGTTGATTACCACTGGATATGAATTTTTTTATCATTTCATCCTTGCTGCTGTATGGCTTTCTCAGTTATTTAGAATAATCTCTATTTATCATTCTGGACACGTCTAACATTTCTTTTTTAAATATATACTAATACTAATTGTTTGAAATCTGCAAGGATATTTTTCCACACCCCAAAGTTCAGTCTTAGAAGTTGGTTGGGCATTTTCTGCTTCTCAAGATCCAGTGAACTGTAACTAAATTACATTATACTATAACTATAAGTATTTGAAAGCTGTGAAGTTGCACAGGACTAGCATATTAGAATAATTTCATGCACATATCTGCAACTAAATTAATTTTATATTATTGAACACATTGATCAAAGTTATAAGCCAGAGAAGAAGCTGTGCATTACAGTTATTTTGCCATGGGTAATGGGTGTAGTTAGGCATAATGTAAAGCTTTTATGAAATGGAAACAAAATACAATAAGATGCTCATATGCTCATAAGTTACACAGAGTTGAGTCAGAGTACAGTGTAAGTGTACACTGTAGTGTAATCTGTTGCACAGTTACACTGTAGTGTAATGTCTTGCACTGTTAAACTGTGTGTAATGTGCTGCACTGTTTAACTGTAGTGTAATGTGTTATACTGTTAAGCTGTAGTGTAAGGTGTCACACTGTTAAGCTGTAGTGTAATGTGTCACACTGTTAAACTGTAGTGTAATGTGTTATACTGTTAAGCTGTAGTGTAATGTGTCACACTGTTAAGCTGTAGTGTAACATGTCTCACTGTTAAACTGTATTGTAATGTTTCACACTGTTAAACTGTAGTGTAACGTGTCTGACTGTTAAGCTGTAGTGTAATGTCACACTGTTAAGCTGTAGTGTAATGTGTCACACTGTTAAGCTGTAGTGTAACGTGTCGCACTGTTAAGCTGTAGTGTAACATGTCTCACTGTTAAACTGTATTGTAATGTTTCACACTGTTAAACTGTAGTGTAACGTGTCTGACTGTTAAACTGTAGTGTAATGTGTCACACTGTTAAGCTGTAGTGTAATGTGTTACAGTTAAACTGTAGTGTAATCTTTTGCACTGTTAAGCTGTAGTTTAATATGTCGCACCGTTTAGTTGTAGTGTAATGTGTTGCACTGTTAAGCTGTAGTGTCATGTGACACGCTGTTTAGTTGTAGTGTAATGTGTTACAGTTAAACTGTAGTGTAATCTTTTGCACTGTTAAGCTGTAGTGTAATATGTCGCACCGTTTAGTTGTAGTGTAATATGTCACACTGTTAAGCTGTAGTGTAATGTGTCACACTGTTGAGCTGTAGTGTAATGTGTTACACTGTTAAACTGTAGTGTAATCTTTTGCACTGTTAAGCTGTAGTTTAATATGTCGCACCGTTTAGTTGTAGTGTAATGTGTTGCACTGTTAAGCTGTAGTGTCATGTGACACGCTGTTTAGTTGTAGTGTAATGTGTCACACCGTTAAGCTGTAATGTAATGTGTCGCACTGTTGAGCTGTAGTGTAACGTGTCACACTGTTAAACTGTAGTGTAATTTGTCACACTGTTAAGCTGTAGTGTAATGTGTTACACTGTTAAACTGTAGTATAATCTTTTGCCCTGTTAAGCTGTAGTGTAATGTGTTACACTGTTAAACTGTAGTGTAATCTTTTGCCCTGTTAAGCTGTAGTGTAATGTGTCACACTGTTGAGCTGTAGTGTAATGTGTTACACTGTTAAACTGTAGTGTAATCTTTTGCCCTGTTAAGCTGTAGTGTAATGTGTCACACTGTTAAGCTGTAGTGTAATGTGTCACACTGTTAAGCTGTAGTGTAACGTGTCACACTGTTAAGCTGTAGTGTAAGGTGTCACACTGTTGAGCTGTAGTGTAATGTGTTACACTGTTAAACTGTAGTGTAATCTTTTGCACTGTTAAACTGTAGTGTAATGTGTCACACTGTTAAGCTGTAGTGTAATGTGTCACACTGTTAAACTGTAGTGTAATGTGTCACACTGTTAAGCTGTAGTGTAATGTGTCACACTGTTAAGCTGTAGTGTAATGTGTCACTGTTAAACTGTAGTGTAATGTGTTGCACTTCTTTATTACAGAAAGCGTAATCACTCACTATAGTAACACATCTGAGTGACCTCAGACTGACCTTATCTCCTCTTCCTTACTCTCTCTTATATGCAGTTATTTCCTGGGTGAGCTGGAGAAGTGTGTGGTGGAGCCAGAGAGATTGGCCCAGCTCTTCATCAAACACGTACGTCTGTCACTCTACCGGTCTGTCTGTTAGTCAGTCTGCCTGAGTGTCTGAATTTCTCTGTCTGTTTCTGTGTATATGTCTTTATTTCTCTATCTTCTCTCTTTCTCTCTCTGTCTCTCTCTCTCTTCCTATAGCCTGTGTCTCTCTCTTTCTCTCTGTCTTTCTGTCTTTCCCTCTGTTTCTCTCTCTTCTCTCCCTTTTCTCACTCTGTTTCTCTGTCTTTCCCTCTGTTTCTCTTCTCTCTCTCTCTCTGTTTTTCTTCTCTCTCCCCTCTCTCTCTCTCTCTCTCTCTCTCTCTCTTTTTCTGCCTCTCTCTCGACCCTCTCTCTCTCTCTGTTTCTCTCTCTCTGTGTCACAGTGCCAGGATAGTTTGGAATGAGGCTGCCATGCTTGCTCTGTGTGTTTGTGTAAAGGAGCAAACAGAGCTGAGAAAACACACACTGGCCCCGTTTATCCTCCCCAGTGAACTCACTCTGTTTGTGTCCCTCACACACCTTCCATCACTGATAGTCTGTTTGTAGGAGAGTGTGTGTATAATGCGTGTTTGTTTTTTCACGACAAAAATGCTCAGAATTTGTAGAAAAAAACAAAGCTAACTTACGCAACAAAATGGTCCTGACGTCATAAAGTTTTTTAACAAACACTTTCATTTATTTAACGCAGAAAAGGCAAAAACATTTCCTTTCGGTTGCTGAGGTTCACAGTATGCTTAGTTTTCAGTCAAAATGACCATTAATTAAAAGCAGAAAAGATATATTTAACAGAAAATTACACAGAAGCCTCAAAAACCTGTATATAACTAAGACTAAATATAACATCAGATACGTGTCCACTCTTTGCCTTTATTACTGCTTCCATTCTTTTTGGGAGTCTTGCTTGTATTTTTTCAAAAAGGCTGTATGGATATTTTTCCACACCTCCAAAGTTCAGTCTTAGAAGTTGGTTGAATTTTCTGTTTCTCATAATCCATAATCTCAAACACATTCAGTGATGTTGAGGTCTGGACTCTTTGGAGGGCAGTCCATTGTTCTGAGAACACCAGCAGCTTCTTCTCTTCTTTTTGTATATTTCCTGGCCTCAGCAATGATTTCTTGACAGCTACACATAACGTTGAGTTGTCTTCTCACGGTGGAAAGAAGAGCAGAAGAAAAACAACTGTGGATTTGTTCAGATTTGAAGCAAGGATAGAGCTTGATTTTCTCCTCTCTCGAAAGATGAAAGCTGGTGTACCAAGTCTTGCATGTTTGTTAGGAGTCCCATTTTTTTAATAACTTTTAAACATTTTTGTATTCCAGTTTTGGAAACATCTGTTTTTTCACTTACTTTTCTTTCACGTTCCCCTTTGTTATGGATTATCTTATATTTGTTCTCCTTAGAAACATTTCCCTTAGCCATTTTAGATGCACATGAGAAAGAAATTTAAAAGGCAGCTGAGGTGAGTTTGGGTAGTTGTTAGTGTGAATATTAGTGTCTTTTTGAAGTGGAACAAGAGCTTTGGGAGCAGCTTTTGTTGAGAGTATTCTGCTGTAACTTGGCAATTAAAGTTGCAGTAAGTGCACAAAAATGAGTAGACAAATTAAAGACTGATAGATTAGTTGTTATATTTCTGTGTATTGTACTTGCTATTAGGCTTCGGTGTAATTTTCTGTTAAATGTGTTTCCCTCTGACTTTCTGACTTTTTGTTTTGTTTTCTGTTACTTTTTTATTATTTTTGTTTTGACTGGAGATTGATTAAACAAAAGGGTGGTTTCTGACTTTTGCACAGTGCTGTATATAAAACATATGGCACATATTATTACTTGTAGGTACTATGTATTATAGTTATGTAATGCATTTGAGACAGTTGTTTGATTCCGTGTTGTGACACTGTATTAAAGCAGACCTTCCTGTGTGTGTACTTATGTGTGAGATTGTGCGAGCATGCAACTCTGCTGGCTCACCTCCATGAAGACTCGTGGGGTCAGGAAGCCCGAAGGAAAAAACAGGCCGACAAAAGCAGCCAGGAATAAGAGGTGGAATAATAAACACAGGCAGCGTTCTTTGATAGCATAGCTTCATGCACAAAGCTGGCCTATTTCTGGAGCTCAGGATGTGCACGATGTACAATCCTTTGCTGCAGAAAACAAAAACACGCTGTTCTTCTGGAATGGCCGCAGCGTTGGAGCTTGTTTGTTGGGGGTTGGGGCAGATGTTGGCAGGCATAAAGACTGTAAATAGAATTATACTCGCGTTAATTTGCTGGGGTAATTTCTCGATTACTGGCATGTGGTGTGATGTTTTTGGTGGTTAATTAAAGCGTTTTACTCAAACATGAATGGGTCGAGTTACAGTATGGCAACGTGTGCGCCTCGCTGCCCTTTCTGTGTTTTAATAAGACTGAGCCCTTTGGGTAATTAACTTAAAAAGGCTTGAGGGGAATAAAGAAACTCGTAACAAAAACCTAAGAGCGGTGTCAAACTGTGAAAACAGGCAGACTGGGACGTCCGGCCATAATGAAAAACAGAGAGAAGGGAGAGGGGGCGGCGGGCGGGAGTAAAGTTTTCTTTCTTTCACCCCCTTTCTCTCTCTCTCTCGCTCTCTCTCTCTTTTTGAAAACTGCCTCTCTCTATCACTATTTCTTTCCATTTTCTAGCATTTTTACTTTTTGCTTGTCCTCAGTGATGTTCCATTAGCATGAACAGAGGTGGACTGTCATGCACATTTTCAAGGGTATTTTTTAAATCAGATACCTGATATTCCAGGAGATGAGAGTAAAATTTTACCTCACAGACACAAGAATTGAAATGTTTGATCGTTAAAAATATCTCACTGTACTTGACACTTAAGTGCATTTCAAAGCAAGTGTTTTGTACTTTAATTTAAGTGAATATATTGAGTGATGTTTTATCAAAGGTATCTCTACTTTCACTTGTGTACTTTGTCCGCCACTGAGCAGGAGTAACATATTGGAAGCACAGCCTGTAGTCCGGTTATGGAAAATGACAGTAGGATTGAACATCTTAATCAGGACGTAAACAAATAAATAAGCTCTCGCGCAATGGAATATTCATGACTGTACTGTGAAGTCGCCTTCTCTTCTAACCTACTCAGCATGAGCTGAACTGTCTCCAGGCAACACTGTGAGTGTGTGTGTGTGTTTGTGAGTGTGTGTGTGTGTGTGTGTTCCAGGTGTTGTCTCTCGGTACCTGGCTGCAGTCAGATAGGCTCGCTCTGGTTTCTGGTTACATTGTGGATAAAGTGACTGAATTATGCATGATCTCATGCTCCTACTACTCTATTAGAGACCCGAGTAGCTGTATAGTCTCTCTCTCTCTCTCTCTCGCTCCCTCTCTCTCCTTCTTTCTATCCATCTCTTCTAATCCTTTTCCCTTTCTCTGTTTCTTCCTGTTTCTCCAGTTCTGTTTCTCTTCTTTTTCTCTCTTTCTCCTCCCCTTCCTTTTCTCTCCTGTCTTTTTCCTCTCTCCTACTTTCTTTCCTTCTCCCACTCACTCTCCTCTCTTTTTTCTTTCACTGTCTTTCTCTTTCCGTTACTTTCTCTTTCATTCTGTCCATCTATTTTAATCCATGGCCATCCTTTGCTTTTCTCTGTCTATCTGCCCTCTGTCTCTTACTTCTCTCTGTGCCCCTCTCTCTTTCCTAGTCTCTCCTCTTCTATCTTTCTTGTTTCTCTCTTTCTGCCCCCCTCTATTATCTCTCTCTCTCTTTCTTTCTCTCTCTGTCCTATTAGTCACAGTGCACTGCTCCTACTGCAGAGTCAGTATCAAACAGGCTCATTTAAAAACAAATAGCAGCTTCTCCAGCAGACGACTGCAGTGCTGAAGTCACAGTTAAATCTCTCTCTCTCTCTCTCTCTGTCTCTCTCTCTAATTTATTTTCCTCTTTCCATTACTCAGTCATGTGTATTATACTGAGAGAGAGTTCAGACTTGATAGTGCTCTCTTTATGCCCTCTTCATGCTGCTTTGCCTTTTACTATTTTGACAGTAGTTGTTTTCTATATTGAGCTCTGATCCATTTTCTCTTATATTGCTCATTGATTGTATTATTGCTTCATCTGGGGTCAGACATCCATTACACAATCTGGTTGGTTAAAAAGTGTTGTTGTATCCGATAACAGTGTGTTATTTGTTTACCTGTGTAATTTTTCTGACTGACCACCAGTTGCAAAGGACATTACATGTCCAAAAGTTTGTAGACACCTGCTCATCAAATGTTTTTTTTACTCAACCTTTACTCTTCTGGGAAGTCTTTACACTAGATGTTGGAACATTGCTGTGAGGATTTGATTGCATTCAGCCACATGTACTGATGTTGAATGATTAATCCAGAGGTATTGGCAGGAGCTCCAGCACTCCAGAGAGCACAGTTCCACTGCTCCACAGCCTAGTGCTGGGGGGGCTTTATACCCCCCCTTAGCATTAGGCATGCTGACCTAAGGCCCGTGTGGGGCTACTCCTGAGTGCCTCATTTTATTGGCAGTACTTTTCTGTAGATATTATACAAGCTGTATGTGTGCAGCTGAACCCCTGTGTCAGCAATGAGTGCATTGTGTAATAACATTGGCTGCTTTGCTTTAACTGATGAAACTACAGTTTTTTGCTAAAAAAGTTTAATTGTGCTGATTAATGCTTTTTGACTTTGTGGTCAAAATAAATTTGCCATGTTTGAAACATTGTCTTTTCACTACTCATATTTATTTTAATGAATATATTTTTAGGGACTAAGGTTGGAATTCAAACATACCATTTTATTGAACTGTGCTTTGCAATGATTTAACAGACATTTTACAACAAACCCTTCCGTCTGTTACAGTTAGCTCCACTTATGGGGTAAGTTGTAACATTGCAGCCCTGCCACTTTCAGCTGAATTGCTCATAAATGATAGGAGCAGGAAACAACGTTAATATTTTTTGTAGCAATGATGTATAGTTTAATCTTGGTCGATTACGTTCAGCGTTATGAAGGGACATATATCATGGAAAACCAAATTTTCCTTACTCTGTTGAAATAAAAGAGTTGATTGTAGTATGCAAACACTGTTAAAGTTTTAAAATGTACCATTCAGTCTATATGGACAAATGTTTTGGGACACCCATACGTTGCACCTACAGGTGCTTTTATGACATCCCATTTTAAATCCATAGGCATTAATATGGAGTTGTTTCCTCTTTGCAGCAATAACAGTTTCCACTCTTCTGGGAAGCTTTCTACAAGATTTTGGAGTGTGTCTTTGGGAATTCTTGCCCATTCATCCAGAAAAGCATTTCTGAGGTCAGACACTGATGTTGGACGAGAGGGCCTGGCTCACAATCTCCATTCTAGTTCATCCTGAAGGGGTTTGATGAGGTTGAGATCAGGGCTCTGTGTGGGCCAGTGACTTGTTGCAACGGTGGCATCCTATTACAGTACCATGTCAATACATTGAGGCCTTTGGAACAACCTATCCTTTCATAAATGTTTGTATAGGCATACTGCATGGCTAGGTCCATGATTTTACACACCTGTGGCAATGAGACTGAACAAAACACCTGAATTCAATGATTAAGAGGTGTGTCCCAATACTTTTGTCCATATAGTGTATATAAACGCTAAGCTGCAAAATAGCCAGTTTTGAATTTATTTTTGTGATGTCACACCAAACCAGTGCATTTACATATATCCATCTATCAGCCTACAGCAGTTTAGCTCCATCCATGCATGCTAAAATTATAAGGAGTGTTTTGTGCTTTTTGAATGAGGCACAATGGAGGGCAGCCATTCAGAACAGAGCTCATTTACAAATATCAATCTTAAATGTATAGCAACACAAACAGCCCGTGCAATTCTAAGGGATGAAGAGAGGCTGGATAATTGTCATATAAAAATAAATAATGCTGTTTTTGATACGCCCTGAGATACACTGGGTCGATGGTATTTCCTGCCTTCCGCCCATTGACCACTGGGATAGGCTCCTGCCTATATAAGCAGCTTAGAAAGTGTGTGTGTGTGTTTTTGGTACATAAAAACACAAACATTATAAATGGACTTTATAAAAAAGTATATAAAAAAAGCCCTTTAAGCAAAAACCAAAATGTGTTACGTTTCACTCTTTCATCTTTTCTCCTGGTTTGCTTACATATTTTCAGAATGATGAATGGAGTGAGTAATGTACTTTCACCTGTTTTATTTGCAGGAGAGACGTCTTCACATGTATGTGGTGTACTGCCAGAACAAGCCAAAGTCAGAGCACATTGTGTCAGAGTACATCGACACCTATTTTGAAGTAAGTATGTTTTAAACCTCCAAACATACATGCGCAGATAGACAGAAGTACGGTCCAGTGAAACTCTCCACTACACACAAGCCATGCATGATATAGGGCTCGTCGCAGGCCCATCTGCACAAGCATCATCAATATCCTCTCTCATTCTAAATATGCTTTCCTACATGAGTCACCCTCACCGGACGGGCCTGTACCCCATCACTTCTAGAAATGGAGGAAATGGAGGGATGTGCAGTCGTCAGCTTTAAGTGCCACTAATGTGTTTGTCTCAGCACTGTGACAGTATAATTAGTCATTTTACTGCTGGTGTTGTGCCGGGGTTTGTGAATGGATTTCTGAATCAGAAGGCAAATCTATGGCTCTTTGAATGACAGTAATAAGGCAGTAGTCTTTAAAAACATACTATAATGGATACTATAAATGTCACTGAATGTTAACTGCGCTCTGTGTGTGGTGTGTGTGTAGGAGCTGAAGCAGCAGCTTGGTCACCGGTTGCAGCTGAATGATCTCCTCATCAAGCCTGTGCAGAGAATCATGAAGTACCAGCTGCTGCTGAAGGTGAGACAAGGTGTTGTCAATGCAAAAACACACTGAAAGAAAATGATGCCTTGAAATGATATTGCATTAACACTAGGGGTGGGAATCTCTAGGCACCTCACGATTTGATTTGATTATGATTCAGAGGGCTGCGATGCGAAAACGATTATCAATGCATCTTGATGCATCTTTTTTTCTATACAGAATTTCTTTTTTTCTCACTGTGTGATGACTTGGTGATGTTAAAGCAAAGTATTTGTAATGATCCATAATGAATTTACTTCCAATATCTTTTATTAATAAAATAAACAGGAGTTATGTGGCAAGTGAACTAGAAGGCTCTCATTCACTGCGCTTCTTTGGAGCACATGAGACGCTGCTGCCACTCATCTGCTATAAAATGCGCAGTTACGGTGAAATAAGATCCTGTGGTAATGGATGTCCACGCAGCACGTTAGAGCTATTCTGCCCGTTTTTCGTCAGGGATTTCATAACTTCGGTTTTGGTCTCGTTGTAGAGATTGGGGGAGGGGTGGGTCGCTGTGTCAGTAAATATCTTTGAGACGGGACGCTGTATCTCTCCCTGGTTCTCAACGACTGAGAACGGACGCAAATCCTTGACAATAAAAGTTGCGATAGAGTTTGTAATTCGCCTCCGAGTTGGGTGAGAGCTCTGACATCACTTGCTTGATAGTGCTCTGGTTGGCAGCAAGTACAACCGGACGGGAAACATGTAATATGGTTTCTCATGTTTGTCGTTTCCAAAATATTTTAGTTTAGTGTGACACAAATTGCATATTGTGCGGCTCTTGTCCAGGTCCTTTTCCCCTTCAACTTCATAGAAGCCATTTGTTTCCATACGCTAGCTCAGGGGTCGGCAACATACGGCTCTTTTACTGTCCTGATAAAAGGAAAATAATTCTCCTTTGCAGTAAAATAAAGCTCTGCTGATCGTTCTAACGCTGTTTTAACAATAAATGGTCTTAAACGCTGCTAATTCACCACCCTATAACCCTGCAGGCTGGCGTGCAGACTGCAAGTCACATAGCAAAAGACAAAAAGACAGCTTTATGACGAACATCTGGAGACGAATGGACTTATTCGCATTTATAAGCAGCGCAGTTGGTTTCCTGGTACGTTCAATCTGCAACAAGAGACTGTCCGACACTAAAAAGTCGCAAAGATGAAGTCCGCTTCTTTTTCGAATTGTCCCGTTCCACCTTAAATGGTGCCGCATTTACATTCTGGCGCATTAGGCACCATTTAAGGTTGAACGGGAAAATTCTAACAAGAAGCTGGAGAATAAGAAGCGACTTCAGCTTCGTAAAACAGTCGAACGTTGAGAAACATTTTACAAGAAACTATTCAACGTTTGAGGAAAAGTTTTCTGGCGGAGATGGGAGGAAAGCGGCTATAGCTAAAGCTTAAAGCAGAGAAAAGTAAGTCCGCGTTTTCGTTCAACGTCATATTGTTTAGCCTATACTAGGACATTATCACATACTGAGACATACTGGACATTAAATGTTGTGGCTCCCAAGGTGGTTTGATTTTTGTTGAAAGGACAAAATGTCTATTCTTAACATCTGGGTTGTGACTCCTGATCTAACCTGGCTTTTAATGCAGAGGGAGCCGGTTGGATTTCTCACTCATCCAGTGGTGTTTTTGTTATGTACCGCCACAGACTGTCCGGGCGCTGCACTTCCGCACTTCTAGGTTCCGCCTTTGCGTTCCGTCAACATTACGTTATAAATTAAATATTCAGAAAAACGATTTTTAACATTTGTGAATCGATTCAGAATCGTCCACGTCCGCAACGCGATGCATCTAAGAATCGATTTTTCCCCGCACCCCTAATTAACACAGTGTTGCCCTTCAGTATATTTGCTTTTGGCCATAACTGTGGAAAATTATGTACACATTGAATCAAGTCAATTCAATGCACTTTTTCAGTGTATACTTGTACATTGTAATGTGTTTGCTTTTAATTCTGTGTTAATCTAGTAATAATAATGCAAAGGGTACATACCAGTTGGAAAACCTCAGGGCATCACAGAAGGACTAATAATTTTTGTCGAAAAAAGTACATGTAATTCTTGGTTGATTTTTATTTAATAGAATCATTGTGCTTGTTGTACAGGGAGATTCACTCGAAAGAGGCCCTGAATATTCTGTTGTAACTCTCGTTAGGATGATGCAATCTGAACCAAAAAAAATACGCTTTATACCTTGACGTATGTGTAATCGATTGCATTACATGTGATGCTGAAAGTGATCTCCGTTTTCTGCCAGACACATGAAGGGATACGGGGGTATGCACCCGGATGTTGCAAAAGGAGGTTAAACGTTATGACGGCTGTCTGGCACCTACCTCATCGCTCCGATGCAGGGGCATCCCAGCTTGTTTGAAGCTCCATGTACTGAGGAGCACATTGCGTGTTGTTTTGTTCAGACTGATTCATCCTAGCGAGAGTTATTACAGAATATTCGGGACCTCTTTTGAGTGAATCTTCCTGTATTTATACTCTAGTAGCAATACTGTAGCAATACTTATTTCATTTTTTAAGTTTTGGTTAAAAGTTTTGGTCGAAAAGGTTAAAATCTCTAAAGACCCAACTCAAAATGTTCCAGTCAGGATTTTTTCCACTGTGGTCGATACAGCCAAGCGAGCTCTTCCATTGGTTAGGACTACAGGAGCTGAAGGAACCGAAGGCCTAATGTGTCAGATTAACGGATAACATAATTACTGATGCGTTTAATTCTCTATGTTTGGGACCAATTTTATTAGAAAAACATCACATTAGACCTTTTGGAAATCCTAGATATGTCACTGACTCAAGTACGAGCGATCGCCAAACCATTGAGTTTCAGCCAAATTCCAGCCATGACCCAAGCTAACAGGCTGAGAGGATGAAGGCTAGCATATGCTTCCAGCGAGACACAGAAGCACCACCACATGCATTTGAACTGCTGCTAATACAACATGCTTGGATGCTTGGAGGAGAACGCTAACTGCTAATTCTGCTATCACATTGGATGTCATCACACTGAGTGATGGGGGAAGAGCTCTCTTGGTCTCCCAGCCACAGCCGGCTGTGACATCAGCAAGGACCAAAAGACCAAATGCTCAGATGGTTATGCCACTTAGGAGCCCTAGAAGCTGTTTTTTTTAAACTCTACAACAAAGCATTTGGCCAAATTGTCACACAGTGTCAAAATGTTCTTGTTTTCTATTACCATGGAGATGCTTGGTCCCCACGAAGAGCTAAATAAATGACCACACACACAGTAACTCACATCCAGACAGCCACCACTACTTTAAAATGAATGTGTTTAATTAGCTGCCTCAGACAAAGACAACAACGTTAAATGGATCATTAACAGACAAATAGCGCGCTGAGTTCAGCTCTTTGTAACCAAATTCTCTAACAAAAGCAGAAAAGTAAATGACTCACTGAGTTTGTCAGTATAACCCTTTGTTCTTATTTGATCTGAGCTACTGATCTCTGCTGTACTGTAATTTTTTCCTTATTACCCATTCCTAGTGTGGTAGGCCTCTCCCAGTACATGACAAGAAAACCAGTCTGGGAGACTAACACGCATCCGTTCGATGTGTGTTACCATCCTTTTAAAGTAAAGAAGACATGCAGATGTGGGGGTGGTTTGGACGTCATGTTGAGATGGAGAAGCAGCATGCTGTCCTCCCAGTATGAATCAGTTTAGATCCATCTCTTTGCTTTTGGGTACACCTCCACACAGCTGAACTGTGCTTTTATGAGACGTTCCTCTAAAAGTGAGTCACAAATTTAAGCCAAAGTTAAGCTTCCTCTTAACCTAAAGAAACCTTAGTTTCTTTAGTTTCCAGTGCAGCTACGAGGCTAATCTTGCTAACAAAGAATGGAAAGTTATATGGATCATTCTACTGAATTGGTTCAAAGCCAGAGTTCAAAACACCTTTTGGACTTTGAATTGACTTGGACTTTAGACTAAAATCCTTTTGCTTTGACTGACCCTATACCTTAATTATATTTACTTTATTTAAACAAATGACTGAACATCCCATTTTGTAAAATAAGGCTCCATCTATGCCAACGTCAGGGACGCACCTTTATTTATTTGATTTTTAGTCAAAACTGACGCTAAGTTCAAGTTACTTATCTTTCAGGAGATATTTCGGAGAATATATAATAGATGTAAGATAATCCACTGTGAGAAGACAACTCAATGCTATGGCTCTGAAAGTATGTGTAGCTGTCAAGAAGCCCTTAGTAAGAAAAGCAAATAGACAAAAAAGAAGAAAATTTGTGCTACCACACAGATACGGGACATTTGAGATGTGTAAGGTTTTATGGAGTGATAAGTCTAAATTTGTATTTGTGATTACTTGGATCATGAGAAGCAGGAAATGTAACCAACTTCTGAGACTCAACTTTGGAGATGTGGAAAAATATCCCTTCAGATTTCTTTGTAAAACTAAGAGCAAGTCTCCCAAAAAGAGTGAGAGCTGAAATAAAGGTAAAGAGGACACACTAAGTTCTGATATAAATATATAAATACAGTACCTACTTTTGTTTTTCTCTACAGGATTTCCTAAAGTATTACACCAAGGCTGGGATGGACACAGAGGAGCTGGAGGTATGAATCATCACTCTGAAACTGAGCTCATAATTATCCAGTAGTTTTATGTCGAACTGCTAAAGAAGAGAAAAAAAAGGGTGAGAAGTATCCCATTACTAGGGCATTGTGTAATGTTCATACAGGCGCCAAGCAGAGCTTACTCACAGAACTCTGTGTACCCTGTCTGCTTCACTGTTAACACTCAGACAGGAATCTCTCAGGAATACAGTAATTCTTACTTAATGCCCTTACTTAGATCTGTTTTCACATATTTTTAAAAGTCACCCTCCACCTCTCTCTCTCTCTCTCTCTCTCTCTCTCTCTCTCTCTCTCTCTCTCTCTCTCTCTCTCTCTCTCTGGAACAGAAAGCAGTGGAGGTGATGTGCTTTGTTCCTAAGCGCTGTAATGACATGATGAACGTAGGTCGGCTGCAAGGCTTTGAGGTACGGCGCCAGACGTGGGCTGCAGTTTAAAACTGTCTCAACACAAAAAAGAAATAGTGTACAAGTCTGAGCTGTTTCTGGCCCCTAAAGCCACATTCTGTCTGCAGGGGAAGATCACAGCGCAGGGTAAGCTGCTCCAGCAGGACACCTTCACTGTCACCGAGCAGGACAGCGGCTTCCTGTCCCGACCCAAGGAGAGGCGGGTGTTCCTGTTTGAGCAGATCGTCATTTTTAGCGAACCTATAGACCGGAAGAAAGGATTCTCATTGCCTGGTTACATCTTTAAGAACAGCATCAAGGTGGGCCTCCTTAATGAGAGGAAGCCTTGAGGGACTTCTTACCAATTAGAGTTAAAGAAAATGACCATTTAGAATTATGTCTAAATTCATTTACATTTTCAAACTGCCTTGCCACATAACACTAAAAGAGAGAATGCATTGTGTTAACTTGTTTTAAATATTGTTTCTTCATTTCCACAAGAATAAACTATATTACATCAGCAAAGTTATTGCCCTAATTGTTTTGATGTAGGTCTGATATGTGGAAATAACATACACATTTGAAACAAGTAAATTGAATGCATCACTTTTTTCAGTGCAAATTAAAGTAAAACAGGAATTTCACTGATTTTTCATAATTTCTTTATAATTTTATCATTTAATTACGCAAAGTTATTCAGAGTGATTTGATGTAAAACGCTCTGTTCTAGAGAAACTTACAGAGACAGATTTGTTCACAGTGGTGGTGAAAAGAAACCAGACTCCTAAGGCATGTAATACCTATAAAAGCTCCCTCACCGAAAGTTGCAATTTGCTGACTAATGCGGCCTAATGATGAGATAAGGTTTTGGCATAAAACATTAAAACAAAATCCATTTATTTCAGGTTTACCACAATTTTCTCATCTTTAACATTACATATAAAAAAGACACATGTAGGTTCATTGGTCATTTTAGATAGTAAATAAAAAGGATATTTCTGTTGTAGACATGGTGACCCCTGGTTCCTATCACCACCACTGTAAAGAAATCTGAGTATGCAAGTTTTTCTACAATAAATCATTTCACATCAAACTTCTCTGAATGAACCTGTGGTATTGCCCTTCAAGGCTGCACAGTACATCTTCTTTTAACATTATTATGACACTGGCCTTTGCAATACGCAAATGAGTCCCCTATTCATCCAACCGACAAAATGACAAGAGTACAAACAGAATGTTCTCTGAATGTCTTTAAAAGTTATAAGAATTATATTTTGTGTTAATGGTAAAATAGTGGTAAATCTGTAAAAAATTGTTTTTTTGTGGGGTCCATTTTAAAGAAACCTCGTTCACATCATTAGACGATGTCTCAGGCATCAGGCAGCATAAAAGATGTCTTTTATGATGTGCTCATAACATTCCATTACTATTACAGCAAACATTTACAGGACATAAAGTTTTATCTTTACGTGGGAATTTTTTTCATTCCTAGGTTTGTCTTCCCATTTAACCCAAATGCTTCTAAAATTGACATACTGAACAAATTACACATCATGTTTGAGTACATATAAATTACAGTGTTTTAAGCAATTCATACAAAAATAGATGGATAAAGTTTTTATGCTGATAAATATCCTCTTGATGTCGGAACTGTCATTTCAAAACATGTAGTGGACTTGTTTGGAGCATTCTTAAAGCCCTCAGCGTGTTCTTTGAAAGTTCTTATTTTTACCAAATGTTTTTCCCCCCAACTTAGTCATGTCCAGTTCCCACCCCTTTGCTAGGTCTCCACCTATTACACAGTGCTACCAAGCTTGGAGGGTGAAGGCTAGTATGTGAAGCGTCACCACATATTTTCAAACTGCCACCAATGCAATGTAATTGGACAGCTCAGCATGTTTGGAAGTGAACACGAACTGCCAGTTCTGTTATGTCAGACGGCCACGTTGACTAGCACTGCACTGAGTAATGAGGGAGAGGGAGGACTATCCTACCCTCCCAGAGAGAACGAGGCCAATTATTTTCTCTAGGACTCCTGGCAGCAGATGACTGCAGAATAATCGGGGATCAAACACCTCCTACAGTTTTGCACATATTGTTATACAGCTGACCAAAGTAGAAAGCCTGTTAATGGTTACAGAACATCCTCTTTTAGCTGGGAAATGGTGCTCTGCAAACATCCTGACCATTTTTAGATATTCTAGATGTGTTTCGGTGGTTGTTTGGATAAATAAAGGCATTCACCTTATCCAACCCATGTAAATACATTTGATTATTATATATTATTATTGCAGAATTTGTAAATCATGTCACATCAAGGGTTTAGCAAGGGTTTAAAATATAGCCATATGTAACAATTTAATTGCAATATATTTGTGCAGTAGGCATATTTTGCAGCCCTAATTCAAATGTATAGCACTAGCAGACTAGAGAACTGAATTACGGTTACATCTTAACGGGGATTCAGTTATGGCTTCAGTGATGGGCAAATTATACCAATTATCCACTCCAGCTGCCGAGTTCATTTAGCACTATCTGTAACATCATCTGCAATATCAATAACTTTATTACCATTTGCAATATCAGTAGTACTTCATGACCCTCATTTCTTGTCCATTTTACTCAGTGACTCCTTATGTATTGCTGCTCTTCAATGAAAATTACTGCTCTCATAAGCACTACGTTATAGACATCAAAAGCATTATTATGCTCCATTTGCTTACAGTGGATGAATGGCTGGTGGACACATATTATTATGTCTTATTAGGTATTAGAACCACATAGTTTGAACAAAATACTATATGGTGATTATATTGTTTCATACTAATGTTTGAAGTATGAATTTTCATTATATAATAAGGTTAAACATGAGTTTGATGGAACCCTTACAGAACCTTTTCAGAAACAGATTAGTCATGTAAAGTACTGTGCAGAAGTCGAAGATCATCTTTCCTTTATTTGATTTCCAGTCAAAACAGACGTTAAGTATAAGTTATTCATTTCTCTGATGTTTCTGAGGACATTAGATATAAGATAATCCACTTGCACAAGGAAGAAGGAAGTCAGGAAGGAAGAAGTGAGAAAACAGGAGTATCAAAACAGGAGTTCAAAAAAAAAAGTGTTAAAATATGTGTGGAAAATGGGTCTAATAACTGTGCAAGACATGGTAGACCACCAAAACTGTCACTATCATCAGATAAACAGCACTTAAAGCTTTCACCTTTGAGAGGGAGGAGGAAATCAAGCTGCTTCAGATCTGAAAAAATCCACAGGTGTTTCTATCCATCCTTTCACTGTAAGAAAACAACACTATGAGCCTGAAAGGATGTGTAGCTGTCAAGAGGCCCTCACTGAGAAAGGAAAATCACATCATGATGTCATATGACTGATGTTATCATAGTTCAGGTCATAGTAATGACTATTTTAATGTGCTGTGTTTCTCTCAGATGAGCTGTCTGGGCCTGGAGCCATGCGTAGATGGTGACCTGGCTCGATTTGCACTGACCTCTCGCGGGGCTGATGGCAGCACGGTGCGCTTCGTCCTGCATTCTTCCTCAGTCGATATCAGCAGGTCTTGGGTCAGCGATGTGAGCCAGATCCTGGAAACCCAGCGCAACTTCCTCAACGGTAAGGCTCCTATATTTCCACCCTCCCTAAGCTCCACCCCCATCCTCTGCTTTGATCTGATCACCGGGTGCAGAGAAGTTCAAACAGCCTCTGTCATTAAGAGCTGCCCCAGGCCAGAGGACTGATTTGTAGAAGTCCACACAGAGTTCACTCTCCTTCAGATCAGCAGAGCTGAACATTCAGCCTGAGATCAGGATTAAAGTGGGTGTTATACACCCACAGATCATAGGAGAGCATAGTCAGGAATTGTGATATAATTATTAGTGGTGCACTGAAAATGTTTCGTTAAAAATGGCTAGAAATGACTAAACTTTTGACTGAAACGGGTCAAAGTAGTTGCAAAGTAGTTGCAGTAGTGTAGCAGAACACTTCAGATTAAGTAGTTAGCAACACTTTATTTGAACACATTTTAACACATATTATATTGCTTGCATATTTTTATTGTAGTTGTATTTTTAACCAATTTTTTCCCCCAATTTAGTTGTAGTCAAGTTGCTCGCTAAGTCTTCCCCTACACACAATGCTACCAAGTTGGGAGGGTGAGGGCTAGCATATGCTTCTGAGACACATGAAGCAGCCACCACATCATTTTGAGCTGCCACGAAAGCTCAATGCACTTGGAAGAACTAACAGCCAACTGTTATGTCAGCTAAAAGACGTCCACGTTGGTTAGCAATGCGTGATGTGATGAAGGGAGAGGGAGGGATATCCTACCAAACCATAGAGCAAGGCCAATTATGCTGTCTTGGACTCCTGGGCACGGATGGCTGTGACATTGTCAGAGATCAATCTTGCAATCTCCAGACAAGAAGTTTATTAAAAAACATAATAAAACATTTGCCATACAATCAACTCCATACTCATAAAATAATTATTTAAGGTAATGTGTTGGAAAGTTTATGCACATTCAGCCACCTGCATGCAGCATGAGAATGTTTGCTTTGTTGTTTTGTTCAGCCCTGCAGTCGCCCATAGAGTACCAGCGGAGGGAGAGTAAAAGTAACAGCCTGGGCCGCAGTATGAAGGCCCCTGTGTCTGCAGCCTCCAGCCTAAGGCCTCACTCCTCAGCCTCCATCGACAGGCAGAGAGTGCCCTGCCTGCATGCCTACAACTCCTCACTGCCCACCCTCTACCTGCCCAGCCAGGGTCCCGCCAACATACACACAGAGGTACAGTCCTTATTAACATACATTTCTGCACACCAAACAGCTAAAACTAGTTATAGCTTCTGAAACACAAGCTGAATTATCTGCATTAATCTCACCCTGCCCTCAGCTAAAAGTGCAAAATACAGTACACACACACACTCACACACACACACACACACACACACTGAGACAATATTTGACAACAAACATGACCACGTCTAGCCTGGTGAACTGGAATAAGCTGTAATAGACTCTTATTAGCTGAGATGTAGGAACACATACACACTAAATTACTCATTCTAATGTAGGCCTGGGTCATAAAACGACTATGATAATCATTGAAATCAAACATTGTCTTCAACATCACTAATGCTTATTTTTTGATTAAAGCAATAAGTTTTGCTTTTATAAAAAAGTGACAACATAAACATGACAAAATTCACAAATGTGTAGTACTTCATGTATTTTATTTTTTTATTTGTAATTCTTCTGCCAAGAAATGTACTTTGTTTAGAGTTGGCTCATTGTTGCAACCACGGACCACTAAAAGGTGAACAAGAACTTTTTTTACTCATCATTGTATTAAGCAGTCATTACATGAACATTTCAACATTTTGTCATATAATAAAGAAACATTATATAGCAGTGTTTAGTGCAGAAAGTTTGACCTTATGACTCATGAGTTTCTTATCAAATTACCATTGCAACGATAATGCTAATTTCTGCTAGAATCTCTACAATTTTTTGTGTTTTGTTAACATCAAGGTCACAGTGCCACACATTTGTGTTTCCACACCGGATTTAATGCTTCTTATGCAAATCTACCAAGAAACTTTTCAAGCTTGTAAGACATTCAAGTCACATATTCTTCACTTTATATCTTTTAGTTTTACATTACTTGCTGTAAATTTAAGTATTTCAGTAAATGCTTCAATTCACAGCTGAATAATGAATATTAACAGAGGAGCTTACTGGCCTGTTAGTTAGGTAATATGCCAGGTTCTAGTTGTTAAAAAATTATGTTTAAACATAAACAGGGTCTTGCGTAGGCTGTATGTTTAGTACTGTTTCAGCCCATTTATTTTCAGGCCATATACACCCTGGTGCCTTTATTAATACACTCCGTGATCCATGTGAGCAGCAACAGCTGTCATAAGTGTACATACATGGAGTATTTAACCCCTTATATGGCTAGGGCCCCTCCGGCAGGCCCAAAGTTTTATTACACACTTCTATAACCTAAAAATATCTCAGCCAGTTTGCACTGAAATCCCTGTATTTACTGAGATATAAGCCTTAGTATGTAATAAGCCTGAAATTTTAAGAGATTAAGAATAGCTTATAACGCTGCTCAGCCAATCAGGTTTGAGGACCAGAACTGTCTGTTTGTGCAAAAAATTTATTATGCCATTGTGTCCTACATTCTAGTATTAAGAGCAAATGCTTGAACTTTGAAGAGTCGCTACTTCCGTACACTAGGTGGCGATGTTCACTTTTTACTTGTTAGATGAGAAGAGCCTTAACTTTGGAAAGTTAGCTAGCTTTTTTGTGCTAAATATGCATAGCATGAAAAAAAAGTTTGAGGTTAATCATCTTTTTCAGCAAATATTTCAGAGCAAAAAGGGCCCACATTCTTTTCACGGTTCAAAATACTGTTTAGCCTTAAAGTTGAGGATTGTTATAAGTAATTATCAGTATTAAATGATATAGAAACATAAATGTGGTGTGTTTGTTTGTGTTGCACTAGTATGATTGGATCCAGCAGGGTTGCTGGAGTTTTTAAACAACTCAATGTCACTGCTGGACTGAAAATAGTCCACCAACCAAATATCCAGCCCACAGCTTCCTGTGGCCAGCATCCTGTGACCACTGATGAAGGACTAGAGGATGACCAACACAAAATCTGCAGCAGCAGATGAGCTACTGTCTCTGACTTTACATCTACAAGGTGGACCCACAATATATGAATGTCTACCAGAGTATAAAATGAGTTGACACAGTGTTTAAAAACTCCAGCAGCACTGCTGTGTCTGATCCACTCGTACCAACACAACACACACTAACACACCATCATCAAGTCAGTGTCACTGCAGTGCTGAGAATGATCCACCACCCAAATAATACCTGCTATGTGGTTGTCTTGACCATTGAGGAACAGGGTAAAAGTGGGCTAACAAAGTATGCAGAGCAACAGATGAACTACAGTCTGTAATTGTAGAACTACAAAGTGCACCTAAATGGTAAGTGGAACTGATAAAAAGTTCAAAGAGTGTAAATACAAGGAAACAAGGTTTTAATGTTATGGCTGATCGCTGTATATTGTGATAAGATTTTTAGTCGTATTTCCCAGCATTACGTTTCATTCTGGATCTCTAGTTGACAACAGCCTTATCAGTTAGAACTCCTTCAGTGGTGAGTCCAGTCTAGAAACCCTGCACTGATTCTTGTTCATGTGTGATTGCATTTACAGTTAACACAAGAGCAGCGCAGCATGCTGGAATCCAGGCTTGAGTCCCAGACGGTGTCCCCAACTCATGTGCAGCTGGCCTTCAGGGAAGAGCCCCTCTCCCAGACTCCACTCCTTTGCCAGACAGTGTCCAATGGTGTCTATCCCCCCAGTACACAGAGCTCACAGGTATGACAGTTAGTGAATAATTTGTGGTAGTTATTGAATAAGATGAACAATAAAAGGTTAAAAAATTACAAAAGAGGCCACATTACTCCCCCTGCTGGACACCAGTGAAAGCACAAACAAAAAAGCACACTGAAAATAAATACACATGGATTAACTTGATTCAAATGTAAACATAATTTCCATGAGTACAACATAATTTTATCTCTCAGTTTACTTACTTTTAGATATAACTGAGTTAATGTAATCTATTATATTCAAGTGGAAGTCAAATAAATTCAGTGCATCACTTAAAATGTGCAGTCATTTTTGCCAAATTGTCTGACTGATAAAAATATCTACATTTGATTTTGAGTGTTATTAAGTGAATAAATCAAATGAGCTGTTTAACTTTATAATTTTGTATCAGAAGTACACTTATTATATTGTATTATATTGTATTGTATTAAAAGAAATTATGCTCTATGCAAACAGACAATTTTAAGGCCTCACTAGCAAGTCATTAGTGTCCCTCCCCTGCCACTTATTCATCTGCTCTGGACCCAGGGGCTTCAAGCAGCCTATGTCCAGTCACTCTGGTCCAGAGGCACTTTAAGACTGTCATCAGGTCAGGCTGATGACAGCTCAACAGTAGCTGAGTGGGCTTCCCTTATATATCGTGTTTACTCAGATCTGCTGGGCTGTTCCACAAAACAAACAGGAAGCTGAGAGGGAAGTCTCAGATCTTTATCACCAGCCTGATTGTTCTCGTAGCTTGCTGGTCCTGGGCCTGAGTGCTGTTTTGATGGTGACTGGTAAACAATGAGTGCAGGACTAATGATGAGTACTCAAGTCTTGTGGGAAAAAATCTCTCTAAAGGAAAGTTTTGGATTTTTGGTGAATTTCAATGGCCATGATTTGATAAAAGAGACTTTGTTTCTTGGGTCTTTGGATTACTTTAGATGGACCAGATTCATGTATAGAGTTAACTTGGTATATAGTAAGTATATATAAGTATGTGTACATATATTAGTGCTGTTCTTAACTTTTTCATGCTTTAAACAGGAGTTTCATCAATTTTCAACTTTCTGTTTAGTTCACTTGTTGAAATATAAACAAAATCATTCAGGCTGGTTTGATGTGAAGTGTTGCATAGAGAAACTTAATGACTTGGATTACTTTGAAATGCTGATGATACGAAACTGGGGTCACAATGTCGAATGCATCTAGAATCTAGAAGGTGTGGACATTTTGAGCTGTATCATAGTGGCATATCAGAAAAAAAGCCTCTCTGCCATAAATGGCTTGTTAAAAACATTTTAGGCCTTATTGCAAAGCTATTATAAAACAATGTCACAGGAAACAGGCAGTATATTCATAACCATTTATTGAAATAGACTTCTGTGTTGTAGCTTTTAGGGACGTTATACTAACATCTGGTTCCTATCACTACCACTGTGAAAAATTAAGAGTTTCTTGTTGAGCAGTGCATTTCTCACACCACACTAAAATCTTTTTTTTTTTTATCTTAACCATTTAATTTTGCTGGAATTAAAGAATCTAAAATCATTTGAATTCCTCTTTAATAGAATAAGAAATTATTCCAAATTCATTCCAGATTTTTTGGGCCATTTCTGTTAGTCCATTCATCAAGTGTTTCCACACGGTAATGGGCAGTTGGCATTTTTGAGTGATGCTGAGTTATAATTTTTACATGGCAGTCATTAGTAATTCAGAAAAGTGCTAGCAAAAATGGGAGCCAGATCACTGCTTTTGTTTTATGTTCATAAAATGATTGAATTCAATAGATTTTTTACAGTTTGTAAAACTGACATAACCAAGTCATGAACATATCATGTCATGACAAATGCCAGAATGTTTTGCGTCATGATGATACATGATGTCATATGAGCTGTCGTGACATCAAATATCAAAATGATAAATTTCTGGTAATTTACCACTAATGATGACATGTCAGTGTTATATTACTGAACAAAATGTGTCATGACAACTCTGGACAGTGTATGACCTCTCAAGTGACAGGTTAATGGTTTGGTTATGTCAGTGTTGTAGCAGGGTCACTCTGTGTGACAGCGCAGCTGATGTGTAAGGAGTAGCCAGTCTAGCCAATCTGAAGTGAAAACTCAGATTTGTGATTTGTAATGAGAGGGAAAGGCTGGCAGGGTTCCTCCACAGGTTGCTGTGGTGAGAGGCAGAAAAGACTGCCCGTCTATCGGCTGGGCACTCCTCCATATGTCATGATTTAGATCATAAGTGTGTTGCTATCCAGCAGAGAATGAAGGCACGTTTTGAGTCGTTCCTGCAACGTGTTCACTGTGTGGATATTCCGTTCCTCTCAGATTTCAGGGTTATTTTTCCTAAGCTCTGCAGAGTGGCGTGATTCACTGACTCATTCACAGGGATTTAGACTCTATCATGACCCTAATAAAGGAACAGCTCTGACAGCCAATGAGCCAAATATAACATGCTTGGGGATTAGCTGCAAATTACTTTGCTGTGTTTGGCACATGCTGAGTGCTGTTCCCCCACCAATGTTATAAATAAAAGGCCTATGGAAAAAGCATTAGGAGAATTTAGATTTATTTGTCTATAGGACTGCACGATTTAGACAGTTTTTGTGACATATGTAGTATATATTGCAATATGTTGAAAATGTATTGGTGAATAAATAAAGTTTTAAAATGAAGTTCAATGAATATAAAGTTTTTAAAGATTAATGGGTGATTTCTTCTTTTTTTGACATATCTATATCATTCAATTAAGAATAAGTGAACATTCATTCAGAGTGGTTTGATGTGAAAGGCTGTGCTGACATTTGAACAGCGTATGTGTGATGTAAACGGTGACATCATACAAAATTATTAGCTTTTTTTCTTTTCTTTTTTTGATAAATTATGACATAATGTGTCATAATATGCTACAATATGTACATGTAACTTACTCATCAAACCGTCAATGCACACCCTGCTCACTCTGTCGTGAACTAACTTAATGCAAATTAGCTGAGTGGCAAGAAATTACAGTGTCAGCACTGAGTGGGCGATAGAATGGTTGATAAAAAAGTGAATGTATTCAATGCACAGGACACTATTACATTCAGGGGCATCACTGGAGATAGGGGAGCAGGCCTTAACTAAGGGGTTCTGGGGGGCATGCCAACATGTTATTTTTATCACATTCAGATTTACAAAAACTCAAGGGTCATTCAGAAATCTTCTTGCCTGACTGCCCTACAGAAATACTTAATAGAATTATGAAAACAAATAATTTGTGAAGTTTCCTGAAATCCTTAAAATAGTTGGCTCTTAAGCTAGATGACGTGTTTCATGGCCTATCACCTTTTCTTTACCTCACCTAAACCTAGCTAGCATTAGCTAACAAGTACTAAAAACTCGATAGCCGGCCATATTGATCACGGTTTGCACAAATCCATATTGTAGGTAGATATTTTTACTCTGTAACTTACTGATCCAGACTGTATATTATAAATTTTAACTAAAGCCTAATTTTTATTTAAGCAAGCTTTTAGATGAAATCCTGTCACAATGTCAGTGGGTGCTGACTCACAGTCCTAGAGTGAGCAGCACCAGAGCGCCCCAGGGCTGATATGACTGGTTTAGAACTTATGTCAGATATCAAAATCTCTACATTACAACAGCAGCAGCACCTCCCTCAGTTCATGCCCTGCTATTACATTACATTGTGAACTTGAATACGTGATGGCAGAGTTGAATAATGAAGAATAAATGAAAGATACTGTTGATGCTTTGAACTAATAATGTACATTTATTAGGAGGTCTAAATTATATCTAAATCCCCCCTAAAACTGGCCCAGCAACACCCCACAATAAATTATGTTTTTTATGTTTAAAAAACAATATTAGGCTGCAGTGTATTTTTTTTTAAATTTAGTGCAGTATTTATTATGTATAAAGATTCACTGCTTGTTTTAGATACCAAATAGTGTGTTTTGTATTTAAATCAGTCCTGGTTCCTTTCACCACTATAGTGGGTAAGTTTCTCTACAGTGAGCCATTTCACATCAAACCACTGTGAATGTCTTTACATCTTAACAGTTCAATTACGCAGAAAGTTTGAAAAAACAGTGGGATTCACCTCTAAAGGTTGATCTGTATTATTTTAAACAAAATTTTTTTGTTGGATTGGTATCAAAATGTCCACAGTTACACTCTTCTGGAGTTGTGATCATGGCACATAATAATAAACACTCTGATTGGCTGGAGGGCTCATTTACAATTTGCAGCCTTCTGCAACATCAGTATTGCAAAGGGCAATATTGATTATAATAACTATTAACAGAGCATATTTAAGAGCATATTTTGCAGCCATTGAAGTCAGTAGAAGTGAAAGATCCATTTGGTGTAACAATTTTTTATGTGTCTCCATGGCAACAGCGTACAGGAGAGGGTGGTCCCAGAGCCCCAGGCCCTTCCTCCAGTCTACAACACCCCAATAACCTGGCCCAGCTGGATGAGGACGACCTGTGAACCTTTACGTTTGACTTTGTGTGCCCTTGAAGCCCATGGCCTGGACGCGCCCACTCCGGCCACCTTCACTAATGGACTTCACTGATGTGTTTCAGCCTCATGCTGTCTATTCTTCGTTCCCCGTCAGTCTGAAGTGAATGACTAAGTGAAAATGACTTTTTCTGCTTTCTTTTTTGTCTTTTTTTTCCAATGGCAGTGTTTTTTTTCAAGAGAAATAACCATTCCTGCACTGGGAGGTCACTGGAGTTGGAATCATTTTTTATGACTGTATGTATGGGTCTATACGAGTGTGGATGTGTGCATGGGTGGGGGAAATCACTTTGATATTGTAGACATGCTGAGTATTTTCCCTCAACAATGTGCTTTGCAACAGAGGACTAATCAAAGACATTAAGGAGCCTGCATGCGGCTCAAGCTGGATTCAACAAGGCCTCTTTACAAAGGCTCTAATTCAATTTCCAGCCTTTATTCAGTGACCTGCTGGCCTACGTGTATTTTTCTGAAGGAGCCAATAGAAAAAAAAGACTGACAATGCAACTGATTTGTATATACCGTACGTCGAGGACATATCGGCATATTACCTGTGTGCATGAAGACGCAGTGGCTTAGCTCTTTCTCTCTTCACTGAAGACAGAAGCGTCCAGCGCTGTTTCTGAATTCTGTTTGACTGTACAGTGCCGTCTGATCTAAGCAGAAAGGGTGCAGGCACGGCACGCCCCCTAGAGACACTCCGCTGACTGGGGGGGGGGTTACTCACTCCTTGCATCTGCAGCAGCTGCTGTTGGACAGCCCGCTGACAGTCTTCAGCCTCGGACAAGGACGCTCTGAGTGTGCTCTGGGAATAACACACTGTTCTACCTGATAAGGAGAAAAGTGCTGTTGTAATGACAGAAGACAACACAGTGAGAAGTCTTCATGTGTGATGAAGGAACGTGTTTTGGCTCCTGCTGGCCCCTCCCCTCATGACCTTCCTCGCTGTTCACTCTATTGATAAAAGGGGAGGGATTTCTATAGCATATCAGGAATAAAGATTCTGATGAGGACAGATATAAAAAACTTTCCCCTGACTGTATATCACTAAGTGCCAAAAAAGCAGTTACCAGTGCCCTTAAGTGCATGCTTTGAAAACTGAAACATCCAAGACGAGTTCAATTTTAGGTGATTCATTTGTGGAATATATATATATATATATATATATATATATATATATATATATATATATATATATTCAGAGACCCTTAATTTGTTTGATTTCCAGTCAAAACAGTAGTATAGTAGTATAAGTTATTCTTTTTTCACTGTTAGAACAAAAAGCATATGTTTAACAGAAAATTACACAGAAGCTTCCACGACTAAATATAATATCAGTGTTTTTCAGTGTTCAGTGTGTCCAATCATTGCCTTCATTACAGCTTCCATTCTTTTCAGGCTTGATTTCAGTTTTTTTTAGAAACATTCTTTCACACCCCCAAAGTTCAATCTTAGAATTTAGTTGAATTTTCTGCTTTTAATGGTTCAAGTAATCCCAATTACAAGATTCATCATTCCATAAAACAGTCCAGTTTCATTGCTGTAGTTCAAATTTTCTTTTTTGTCAGTTTCTTTTTCTCAGTAGTAGTTTTCTTGACAGCTGTGGATTTTTTCAGATCTGAATCAAGATCTCGAGTGGCGCAACCATCTAAGAGTTGGCCCTATCATCAGGAGATCGTGAGTTTGATCCCTGGTGATGCTACAGCCATCTGTAGCATCACTCTTGGAGACCAAGAGAGCACAATTGGCCTCGCTCTCTCTGGGTGGGTAGGATGGCCCCTTCTTGTGGGGCAGTTGTGGGCTGGAGGTTAGGGAACCAGCCTTGTGATCGGAAGTTCGCCAGTTCGATCCCCTCAGCTGACAGTACGTGACTGAAGTGCCCTTGAGCAAGGCACCTAACCCCCAACTGCTCCCCGGGTGCCGTGGATAGAGCTGCCCACTGCCCTGGGCAAGTGTGCTCACTACCCCCTTCTGTGTGTGTTCACTTGTGTGTATGTGGTGTTTCACTGCTCGGATGGGTTAAATGTGTCGATCTAATTCCGATGTGTTCAGACAGAGTTGGCTAAAAGGTTCATTTCATTTCAAGAGTGAAGCTTGATTTTCTCCTCTCTCTGAAATATGAAGGATTTAAGTTCTGTTTATGTTTAGGTGACAGTTTTTGTGGTCTGCCATGTCTTGCATGGTTGTTGGTCCCATTTTCCATATATCTTTTGATACTTTTTTGAACTTCTGTTTTTTCACTTATTTTATTTTGACTCTCTACTTTCTTATGCAAGTAGATTATGTTATGTCGAATCTCCTCATAAATATCTCCCGAAAAATAACTTGTACTAATTTTGACTGGATATTAAATTAATGAAGGGTAATCTATGACTTTTGCAAAGTACTATATATATATATATATATATATATATATATATAGTACTATAGGTTTGTCATATACACATATGAGTAACCTATGTATTTTAATATTCAGTGCAGGTATTGAATTCTGAATTTGGAAAAGATCCTCCTATTATTGTCCATATTCCATTATCTGGAAGAAACATTGATGCCAGAAAACATTTTATGTAGATTTTGATTTGCTGGTTGTAAAATATTTCACATTTATTTATAAATGCGCCGACCACTCAGTGAATTCACTAATATGTTCCTGAATCCTGTATGAAACCATCAGACTAATGTGACAGTGGCCATTTTTGTATTTCTTTTGTAAATTGTAAAAGATATCCTCATAGCATCTTTATCACATCAGCCTCAAAAGAGGACAGACTGTATTGAAAATGAAAATGTGCAGTTAGTAACGAGCACTTTCAAAATTCGCTTTGCCAATTGCACTGTGTAACCAGTAGAGGGCAGCAGAAGGCTTTGGCACTGCTGTAGCACCACTGATCTTTTCCACTGATCCATCCAAGACCAGTTTTCTAAAAGCACTGCAGTGTCCAGATCACATGAACTTTTAAAGAAAGTGTCCAAAGTGATGCTTGTTTTGCCACTTTATTAAAAGATTTGTGCTTTTGGGAAGCTCACCCCTCAATCAGAGCTGCAAAGCTGCACCAAAGCTTGCATATTTTAGTATTGGCATGTTTACGATGCATATACCCAAATATTAAAATGAATGTCCCAATGTTCACGATCTCTTGTCTTGATATAATATTCTAATCATTTAAAACAGCAACTAGACCATGTAGCCCTATACTGAGTATGAACTCTCCTCTACTGCCTATGCACAAATCCAAACTTTTGCATGCTTTGTTGAACTGTATGCCCGTAACAACACAGAAACAAATGAACAGCAGCGGATAAAGTAAGAGAAATAGGGAAAAGGACAGACATAAACAGATGTCTATATGACTGATCTCATTGTTGTATCATATTAAATAAACTGTGTCTTTTTGGAATACAAGGACTTTGTCTCTTTTTTTTGTACTGTGGAGACAAAAGCCTCTAAGCCAGTACATATGAAATACTGAGGATGCAGTCCTACTCTTACTGTGAAGTATTTTAGTGTGGCAAGTCAACATTTTATTTGATGGCCACCTTCAAGAAGAAGTGGGTGATATGGGGAAAATGTAATATCACGATACATCATGATACACAATACGTCGAGATATATGTTTATTTGACGTCACAAATTGAAGGAAAAAAGTAGTGAAAAATCTATCAAAAACTATGAATACAATTATTTACACTTAACATTTCACACTCTACTGCACTTAACCCAGTTAAATAGGACTAGTTATGCTCTTTGTAATGAAACATGCAGTTGGGAAGTGTTTTTTAAGTACTGACGGTATCTACAGTATACTCAGTGAGGCGTACTGTGACATAATGTGATGTAATTCATCATCATAGTATAAACATTGAATAACATTTTGAAAGTCATTTTTCAGTATTTAGGAACAGCTTATGTTAGTGTTTGCATGATGATGCGATATTTTATGAAGCAAATGATTTTGTATTGACATAAGCTTCTTAAACAGAAGTGAGAGGCATATGTTTTGTTTCATTTTCCTATATTTAATGCATCATTCTAAAGAAATGGAACTTACAATGCAGATGCTTAGCTAAGAACACCACATATCAGATCTATGAAAAACTAAAGTGACTATATTTTCCTATATGCAAATATTAGTGATGGACAAAGCAAAAATCCTGTGGATTTTAGTGGAAGTAGAAATACCCTGGGTAAGATAACAAGGAAAAGTACAAGTCCTTTAAAGTTCTCAAGTAGAAAGCTACAAAAAAGTTACAAAAAGTACTTGCTTTTAAACTACAATTTAAATACAATTTGATGTACTTAAATGCCATGAAATGTTCAGTTATATTATTTTGATGAAAATATATTTGTTATATTATTTAATTTCTGTACTTTAACTCAAGTATAATACAGAACTGTTATATAGAAATATATAATAACAGGAATTATGGTTCATAATAGTGTTATAAATGCAAAAAATGCCTGTCATTTCAGTGTACGTGCCTACAAATACTGTCATCCTACAAATACTGACATAAACTGTTAATAAATGCTCAACTACTGATTTTTATACCTTATTCAATGCTTATGCATGTTTTATGAAGTTTCTATGTAGGTAGCCTTTAGCAGATACACAAATCTCGCACTTTCAAAAGACCTTTTGCTGAACTTGCATAGAGAAGCTGTTGTTTTTTTAGCAGTTACTTTCGAGAGCAAAAGCCTGAAGACAGTGGCAAGTGGGGGAGCATTTATGCAGGCATTTGCTTCATTTGTCTTGGAGCAGGGCCACACTGAGGGCATTGTAAAGAGCTAACGGCAGCATGTGTGTGAGATACGGGACTGGTGAGAGAGGGTCTTGAGGTATTCACTTTCAGAAGGGTGCCAAATCAAAGCAACTTGTGTCATTGTCGGCGGGGCCTGCACAGCTGGGGGTCTATTCACCGTGAGCCCCCCCACGGAGCACCATCTTCACTCACTGTTGACTCAATCATTACCACTGAGAGAGCAGAGGCCAATAAAAGGCCACATGACTGTGAACTTGATGGCAGAAGATCAGGACATGGTCTCAATCATTGGCTTTTACTGTTAACAGGAAGGTGTAAAATGTCTTGGAGCTTTTTTCTACTCATTTGACCTTTTCAAGTGTTTCCCTAGCACCTAGCAACAAAGGCCACCCAAAATTAGCATCCCAAATACCGTTACATTACCATCTGAATCGTCCCTGTGTCCCGGCATTTACACAATATTAGATTTAAAGTTAGCCGTTTGCCCTTGTTTAGACGTTAATTAAGACGTGAGGAGTGTGGCAGAGTGCGACGCAGTGAACAACACATAGTCGGAGATTATTTGTCCAATTATTTAGACTTTTATTCATTTTTTTACATGCTTTCTTAGTCATCATAGAATTGTGTGCCATATGAACATTATATACATTTTTACCGAGCTTTCCGAGGCCACAGTTAACACTCAGGAATTGAGGCTGAAAACGAAAAAGGAATGTTTTGAGTGCAAATCACTGCTTTAAATGTAACCAAAAGAGTAAATAATTGCAGACGTTCTGCTCAAAAACAGATCAAAATAATGATCTACAGTAGATTTCACAAAAGTAAAAGCGACCAAAGGAAATATTTCATGTTAAGGCAACATTTTCTGTAAAAACAAAGAAACAAAAAATTATAAATAATTTATTTTATACTGTGCTTGTACATTTCTTGGTGAATGTAAAACTCAATTGTTAATTGATTTGTGCAAAGATGGGTCTAGGTCACATTGAGCGGTTTAGTGTGCCTGAAACCATGTGAGAAAAAAACAAACAGGTACCAACTTGAATAGGTACCAACTGCAGTGGGCTTCCTCAGTCTTTTAGAGTCTTAGAGATCAGTAGAAGACCTGCTGTGAGTACGACAGAGTGCACTGCTCCCAGTGTTCCTCCATTGCCTCTTCACTAGCGGTGTGGCATCGTAAACAATGCTAAACTCCAAACAATTCACATCAGACATCACTACTTCCACACTGTAGCCAGCAAACATGAATTGGGAGCTTTTCAGTATGGCTTTGTCTCTCTTAACTTGACACAAAAGTCTCTTGGAGAAAACCCCCCTCATTCTCTCTTGATGTTGCTCAGCTGTGGGTCAATTTGAGCGGGCTGTCCGGAGCGCCCCTTCCTGCCCTGGTGGGTTTTGACGTGCTTGGACAGGTGATCGCTGCGCATGAACCTCTTGCCGCACTGCTGGCAGCCGAAGCGCTTCTCGCCGGTGTGCGTGCGCAGGTGCCGCTGCAGCTCGTCCGAGCGCGTGAAGCTCTTGCCGCAGAAGAGCCAGTTGCAGACGAAGGGACGCTCGCCGGCATGCCACCGCAGGTGCGCCTTCAGGTGGGACGTCTTCTTGTACACCTTGCCGCATTCCGGAATGTGGCAGATGTGCAGTCTCTTTTTGCCGAATTCTAGGCTGCTGCTGTTCCCCGATGTCTGGCAGTTGGGACACTTGCAGCGGCGGCAGCGGCGGGTGGAGCTCAGCAGGCTTTTGGACGTTCCCTGCAGCAGGGCGGCGATTTGGGGCTGGTGACCTAGGACTAGCTGCCTGCCCAAGGAGAAGTGGTGGCCGGAGGGGGCGCCGTTGCCCTGAGGGAGGCTCCACCACTGCTGGCTGTCATCGCCAGGACCTCCGGCTAGGTGAGGAGGCCTGGTTGAATTGGTCTGCAGAAAACTAGGAAAGTTCTGACCCATGGCATTGTGCTGGGCATAATACTGAGCGTTCCCTTGGGCCTGAGTGGACAGCATCTTGACCGGAGACAGCTCGAATGAGTATGTGGCGGGTGGCTCGGCCGGAGGCGTGAGGGGCAGCTCGTGGTGATGATGATGATGGTGGTGGTGATGGTGGTGAGAGTGCGAGCCCAGGCTTGTCTGAACGTGGCCAGGGAACTGGACCTTGGGCACGGTGAAGGCCATCTGGTGGGCACTCAGGCCTGAGTTGGGTGCCATCTCATTGCTCCACAGCTGAAACATGCCGGACGCCGAGCCCACCGCCCCTTCATAGGGGAACTGGGGCCCCTCGGCGCTCACGCCGCCGCTCACCTGCCAAGCCTGACTGCACGTGGTGGCCAGAAAGGAGAGTGGGTTGGGGCCACTCTCTGGAGATGAGCTGGGGGTGCGATCCTGAGGGGGACACGAGAAAATGTCATTAACTCAGAGCAGAGATACAGTGAAATTAGTAATACTTCGAGAATACTTCCTTCAATAATTGCTGTAATAATTACTTTAATGTCATCACTGATTACACAACTCGAGTTATTCATAGCAAAAGCCAAAGTATCAGTGGATTGACTTTATTTGTAAAAAAGTTTGAGAAGTTTAAAATGAAAACATATAATATGATTATTTATCAATAATAACATTTTTAAAAATGCAACTTGCATTCAGAACTGCACACTAAGAGTTTCAATGGAGCAATAAAGACACAACTGAATACCTTTAACTTTGTTAAACTAAAAAGTATAAAACACATGTTGTAATAACACAATTTATAAAAGCAATTACATAATTAATAAAAGGTTAATTAACAAAATTTCCCATTACTGATACAGAGGTTGATGTTAATGCCTCAGTTCTTGTCACATGGGTACAAAAGCATGATGTGCTTAAGGATATTATAAGAGAGATATTAGAAGAGAAAGAGGCGCAAACCTGTAAGAAGTTGTGCAGGAAGTTATCCGCTCTGGTCAGCGTTAGCGCAGCCATGTGCTCGTGCCTTCACCAGATCCGCACCTGCGAAAGAGCGCGCCGGGGACGCGCAGCAGGGACGCGCGCTCCGAGTCTCGAGCAGAGGCAGGGGAGCGCGCATGAACGTAGTAGTAATCCTGCGAACTCCTGCACTTCTTTACTCCTCCACTCTTTCCCGAGCTCCTCCACTTCAGCGACTCTTACTCGCGTATTTTCTTTTCTTTTCACAGCCGCTGTCTCTCCTCGCAGCACTCCTCCTTCTGCAGTGTTAGCTCGAGCCTGTTGCAGTCCATCCTCACGAGCTACCACTGCATGTTCCCTTTATAGAGTAAAGCTCCTCTCCACGGGGTCTCTTAAGTACCGGGATGGAGGGCTGATGTTCGGGGTGGGGAGTGGGATGGGGGGGGCGCTAACCTTTATTTCATTCTAATGAAATCTTACCAAACGCTGACCTGTGAAGCCCCCACCCTCCCAACAGCTGTTTGAAAGAAGCATATAACATGATAATAAGAGAGGACAGTTAAAGGATGTTACACTTTTCATATGGATCCATCATGAATTACTGTAGTCGAAATATTCCACGTCATCTCTGTCCTTCGGCTGGAGTAACTTCTGTCACTCACTGGCTAAATTCGCCTTTAAATATAAGAAATAAAAAAAGTAATGGCAAGACTTTTCATTCGAACTTTTCGTTCCACCTTAAATGCTGTAGCAGTTACAGTTTATTTAAGGTGGAACGGAAAATTCGAACAAGCTGGCGAATAAGCAGCTTCGTCTTTTGGTAACTTAGTAACTTTTGTGTGTATCTTTTACTTTTTTTTATACACTCGAATTTTCCCACAAATATTCATTTACACTCATGATTTTTCTTTTACACTGTTCATCTCACTATTACACTTTTAATGCGCGCAACATTTTAAGGAACCGAGCTGACTGACTTTATTAGCTAAAGCTAAAACAGCGAATTCCTGATCTGCGATTTGTGGCGAAAGTGCTGTTTCACTAACTTTACTGAATCTGCCCCATACAGTGAAAAAAGAGTCAAAGAAAAGTAAAAAGAGTCGCTGAATTCCCTCATTTCTGTGTTTGAGCTGGTGATCTGAAGTCTCCCGGGGCTGCGGGCTGATTGTTATGCGCTGAGGTGAATCCCGCTCTTTCTGCGCATTAGCATGTTAAACCACTTTCCCAGAGAAGCCCCTCCGCTCTCCGGACTTCAGACCCCAGCAGACCCCGCCGGGCCATAACAGGGGCTCATCCTGCCTCCCTCTCTGCCCTCTGCTCTTCATCCGGGTGGATGTGATGGTCGCCCTTACCTTGACCCCGGGCTCCGAAGCGTCCTGCAGAGCTGCTCATTGACCTGCTACTTAACACGGGGGTCTTTGATCGGCCTGTATTCAGTCTGTGCTCGGGTTTTCTTTCTCTGAGGCCTTCAAGAAAAAAAAAAAAACATCTGCCGCACGTGCGGCTAAAATTAGGGGAAATTATAGTCTTGGCATAATAAGAGTAGCCAATACACACCTATATATTATAGGCCTACATCACACAAACACACCATACACATATCAGGCATCGTGTACAACCTCAACAGGAGCACTTTTATATGATTGTCCTCTTTTTTGTAGTCCAGTTAGGCTTCATTTCCCAGTGTTGTTCATTTAACATCTTTTGTTTTTTTTATTATGGTTAAAAATATAGTAGTCAATAGTTTAAGTAATTAATAGTTTAAGACAGACTTTTATAAGTTAAAGCAACAAATCTGTTTTACTATTTATTTATTTATTTATTTATTTAAAACATTAGATTAGGACAGGGCTTCATCCATAGCCCTAATTTTAAGACTTTATTTTTGTAAATTATCTGTAAAGTTGCTGTGCTGCATTAACTGAACTAATTATTCCTGAACATTTACACTGATTTAGGCTCTTTGTGTTCTCATCACTCATCACTTTTCTCGGGTCTACTTAGACTGAAAGAGGTTCTGATCTTGTATAGCTCATTGAAACTCACTATCAGAGACTCTTTTGAGTGTAAGAGCATATAGTTGTACTCAAAAGATTGGGCACCCCTGGTCAAAAAACATGTTTTGTTGATTTTCCAAATGAAAATAAGTTAACACTTCCTCTACAGAGAACATTCTCAGTTTGTTTCCTGTACAGGAAGTTAACATATTTTCAATTAGAAAATCAACAAAACACGTCTTTTGACCAAGGGTGCCCAAACTATGTCACATTCAAGTGTGAAGATTTATAGTGTCTACCATAACATTAAGATAGTAAATGTATTAATTAAAAATCTTAATATTGTCTAATTTATAAGCATCTGAATAATTATACAGTTTAATTCATGTAATGATAATCACACAGTGAGCTTTAATGATGACAATACAATGTCTCTGAAGCCTGTATATATTATTTGCCTATAATGCGTTTTTCCAGCTGAAATAAGATACAGAAAGGGGAACATTTGTCTTACATAAAGGAAACGAGTTAAATTAGAATAATTTGCCTGAACAGTTGAGTTAATGATAGATGGGAAGTTCTAGATGAGCTGGGACCTTCTCAGCATTATACTGGCTTCACTATGTAATTTGATAACATATATCTAAATAAGACTCAGTAATGTAATGTAATGAAGTTTTTAAGACATACAATGGAGTAAACTGTATGAAATTACATAATAGAACTAATAAAGGATTAAAAGATCAGGAACTCCACTAAAGGGATGCTAGTACTGAAGTAATATTTGTAGGATTTCAAACCTGTTACTTACTTACTATTATATATATCACTCTTTATATATGTGTGTATATATAGAGGTTTAAGGTCAGGTTTGAATGGTTTTGTAGAGACAGATTTAGGACCTCTTATCAAAGCACCTTGTCATCATGATCTAACAGGATGGAATTATACTACAATAATACTGAAATAAATACACATATGAATTAGAGCACCAACACATTAACACATTATTAACACATATAGATATGTATGAATAATTTAGTTTAATTTTAACTTTAATTTCACATTTAAACTGTATTTTATATACACATAATAGAGGATTCTTCAAGAGTTCTTTAGTAAAGACAGTGGTTCTATATAAAACCATGAGCACTCAAAACATTTAGAGGGTTCTTGCAGAAAGAAATATATAATTCATAATTCTTACATGTTTTTAAATATACAAATACTTTAATAACATTAATAAACATGAATAAAACTGAACTGTCATTGTACTTTAAAGTGGCCCAATTAGTAGAATCAATAAGCTCTGAGTGCCGTTTCACTCTAAAGACGTATTCAGCCCTCATTTATTCTCAGACAGTGATGTGGATCTGGTTTGCAGCGCTTATGCACTGATTCCTGTTTGTTACCGCACTGCTACATAATTCATGAGCCTTTGTTTCTGCTGGTTAACCTAAAGAACAAGGATGAACAAATCATTAACATCCTTTCTCCAAGAATGAATCTGGTGTAAAATTACAGCTCTGTGAGAAAAAAAAGCCATGTTAGAAACACAGAAGCAGAAACACAACATCATCAACAGCGCGATCTTGTAGAGTGTTTTGGGGGCAATTAAGGTGTGTAATACTAATAAAAACAAAATAACAGTCAAATAGCAGGTAAAAAGGGGGTAAAGGACACGAGTAAAACACATCAAATATTTGGTGGCGTTTTACAGAGGGAGGCCGCCTCTGTCTCTTTCTGTGGGCTTCATTACCGAGCAGAAGTTGTTAATTACCCTGATTCTTATTTCCTGTCCCCTAACCCCCCCCCGCTCCTACTCCCCCCATCCCACCCCCACTCTGACTGCCTCCCAGATGAGTGTCTTTGAAGTGCAAAGTATGCTCGCCTTACTTTGAACTGTGAAAACAATGCTCCTGTGGTTGTGCTTACCTTCCCCATGTTACCTCATTTAAATAGACCTGGATCCGACTTCCAGCGTTTTCAAGGGAAAACTCATTTCCAGAGCAAGCACAGATCCCAGCCTTCATTAGGCAGCTGCAGAGATGGCAGGCAATCAGGCAGCGGCTCCAACACTCAGGACTAAAATACTGATAGCCAGCCTCTTACAGCTCTTAGGATGAGGCTTAAATAAGAGTGCAATATGTGCTTTTACTCACTGTAGTCTAGTTTTACTCTTCCAGTGTTTCAACAACTTTGGAAAAATAAATTAAAACAAATAAAACAAAATAAAATAAGTTCTATTAATCTAAACCTAGTACTGTTTATTATCAACTGAATTTCACCAGATTTGTTTACAATTTAGAGATCGATATGTACAGTCGTTTGCAAAGTTTAGGGCACCCCTGGTCAAATAGCATGTTTTGCCGATTTCCTAAGTGAAAATAAGTAACACATCCTCTACTGAGAACACAGTACTGCACATTTGAATGCACAATTACTGTTTATTTGCTAAATTTATTATAATGGGAAAAACATAATTCATAATTTAGTTTAATTTTATGCTTTTTTATTTATTTGTATTTATTTTCACTTTGAAAATCAACAAAACAGCAATGAAAATGACAAATCAAATGATTGTATAAAATAAAATAAGTTGAATGTAATAGTTTCTATTAACCTAAACCTAATCTTAAACCTAATCTTAACCCTAATGCTGTTGTTAATCAGCAGATTGTTATTTTTTTGAAGACTATCAAATAAAATGTGGCCATAATGAATTAAAAATAAATTTGACTGTAATGTTCAGTCTAAAAATAATCCTAAACCATCATAGAGGAAAACCGATTAACGAGGCAGAGAACAGTTTAAGCAGTTTGTTCTTTCAGTGTTCAAGGTTCTATGCAGAACCATTGTCCTCACTTAAGAACCCTTGAAGAACTATTTTTTAAGAGCATCGTTTTAGGGGACTATTAAAATAAAACAAAGTAAAATAAAATTAAACAATTATATAAAACTAACTTTAACCCATTAAGATTAGAATTTCAGTCTTATTACATAGTATTATATGTATTATTCAATAATTCCATGTACTACAAACTGTCTGAGTTATTATTA